CTGCTCCTTTACCTTATCCGTCTGCTTTGAAGGTCGGCCAGAGCGAGGGGCGTCTTGTACGTGCTCTGGGAGGATCTTAAGAGGGAGAACGTTTGGCTCGAAACCAGCCTCAATAGCTCTACTATAGATACGATTGACCGTACGAGGATGAACACCAGTAAGTTCAGAGATCTGTGATGTAGACTTGCCAACAGAAGGTGACTTTAACGCCACAATTAAGGTGCGGGTGTAAGGATCAGTATTAGGAGACATTGTAACGATAGATACAGACAAATCGTACAGCTACTCAGCTCAAAGGTGGGAGTTGCGCCAAGAAGAGTTATGCCGAAGCGCCGAGATTAGCGTGGGACAAAACTTTTGTGAGGCACCTCCGTACAGAGGTGGCTTTCAAAAGTTCTTGCTAAGGCGCGGATCCATCGGACCGAATTCTCGTGATAACGTTTCCATTATTTACTTAGCGTGCAAGACATAATGCCTAATATAGTTAGTGTATTACTGTAAGTGTATACCTTAGTAGCTATTATTCTCTCCAAACTTCCATTTTAAGGGCTTTTAGTTGCGAATATAGTATAATTCTTAGTCTTCGGCTATATTTTCGGTGGTAACCAAGGAACCCCTGTTAGCAAGAACTTTTGAAAGCCACCTCTGTACCATGTGGATGGGAGAGCAGTATGTAAGATGGAATAATAATGTTCCATGTGGGCAACGACAAATGTTATTTGACATGGTTGTTATTGTTGTCATGTTAAGATTGTGGGGATTTGGAATAAAAAATAAAACATTACATAAAATTCCACCCTAGAGGAGAGAGAGAAAAAAAACCAAGGAAAACGCTAAAATGCAACACGCGAGCATGTTCCGTGGTAAAACCGCCAATAAAAATTCCCCAAGCATCCTCAAAAAGCAAAGAACAAACTACTCCAAGTTCAACGGGAAAAACAAAGGAAAAAAGACAGAAAAACTACCTCAAGTGTACTAAGTACATGGGCAGCATCTCTGACAGCACGCGCGTACCAGTCATCTTCGATCGCTCGTGCTGTGGCGATTGCAGCATCCTTTGAGCCTGTCGGGCCGTCTGAACCGCATCTACCACCGCGCTGTCTTACTCCTGCAGGAGCTGTCCCGCACCCATGTCGCTTTTGGCCCCCTCGCCGACAAATCCGCGGCCCCCAGCGCGATGGGCGGGAAGGCCTGAGAAGCTCTCGTCTGACAGCTTTTATCTAACCCCCCCTTGATAGGCACCAACGCTCGTCTCGCTACAATCTCAGAAGCCGCTCCACCAAACCTTCCCCCTCCCTCTCCTCCCTCTCCTCCTCTTCTCCTTCCTCCCGCCCCCCAAACAAACCAAGACCCGCCCCAGAACCCCATCCCGCTCCTCCGTAAGTCCTACGCCCCAACACGACACATGCGCACGCGACGCCCGTTTGCACACTGCACAGCCTACCGCTAACACGCCAGCAGCGTAATTATTCTCTCCGCCGACGACCAACAACCGGCTGCTCCCCGTCACCCCATCGCGCCTACATCTCCGCCCACATCTCAAGGCACGCCCCGCACGCCCAGCAACCCAGACACCACAACCATGGGCTCCAAGGTCAGCAAAGTCCGCGAACGCTCCGCAGATGGCAAACTCCAGCCTTCGCAAGAACGCCTCGACAAGGAGGAAATGAAGGAACCAAGCAACTACTACACGTCCCGCAGCAAGAGCATGCGCCGGAAAGCCACAAAGGGCGAAGCCGTCGGTGGTCCTGGCGGTTCCGGAGGGGGGCTCTAGCTTTCGTGCTAGGCCAAAGCAGCTCCCTCTTTTTTTTTCTTGTTTCTTCGTCTCTCTCCCTCCCTCTTCGTCTTTCCTGCTCTTGAGTTACCAGGGCTGGCTGAGAGCAGCAGACTAGACAACGTGTGCGGGTGGGTGGGCAGGCAAGGCAAGGGTCTACATACGACAGGGATGACGTAGGTTGGCGAGGCGCCAAACCCGGTTGGGCAGGGCGTGGTTCCTGGACGGCGCGTCTAGGCTGCGCTGCTGGTGGGTTACCGCTTTGGGCTAGGATGATGATGCTGCCGCCACATGGTTAGTACATATTACATGCTTGCTCGTGACCTTTGTAGTAGGGGCCAAGTTGATAAGCTGAGATGGCTGTACTTGTCGTCATGGGGGAGAGGATGCCACGGGGCGCGTGGTACATACGGTGGTGCTGCCGGCTCTGGATCTGGCTGGGGCGGCCCTCGCTGGCAGCCCTCGTCTTGCATGGCCGAGTCGAGCTGGGAGCGTCGAGCCATGGACGACGAGGCGTGGATGTGGCAGAGCGTCTTCCAGGCCAGGTCATACACATCAAATAAGAGCGCGCACGTCTCAATGGCCGACAGGGCGTGCGAGACGGCCAGGGGATGTGGGTGGAGGAGCGAAGACTGCAGTTCAAACGAAGCCATTGAGGGTGCTGGTAAACGGGCAATATCAATGTTGGCCATGAGTGTAGTGGCGGTGGTGATGGTGGTGGTGATTGTTGAGGCCCTCCGTCTCATGTCTTATATATCACAATGAGGCCTCTCATCTCAGCACGAGCGTGTGCAGGCAGTTCCCTAGTGGGATTCTGCCTGTTGACGTCTACAGGCCACTGCCTCCGCAACACCATGATCCCCCACTTCGGCCCCATGATCCTGCCCAAGACGGTGACGAGAGCTCGGCCAGAACGTCTACTCTGTGTGCAGGGGGCTATCTTTGGGTGGGCGCTGGCCTAAACGGGCGGCCATTGGAGCGACGAGCCTTTTAGTGGGCTGGGTGCCTGAATGAGGCTCAAGTTAAGCTTTGCTGCGCGTTGCTCGCCATTGCCCGGCGTGGTATCGAGCTGCGAGGCCACCTGCTGGGGACGGGGCCTGACATGGGGACAGGTACATTAGGCGAGCCACGCTGTGCCGACACGTGCGGGCTGGAGCAGAGAAGCTGGGGGCGTAGGCGATGCTGCAGTATCGTGGCTGTGCGGGCGAGGCACCAAACGGTTTCGACGGTCGTGGTTGAGTGGACGGAGCAGACCCGGCTTAGCGGGACGCCTTGTAGGGCCGAGCATGGCAGCTTACGATAGGTTGCCACTGTCGCGGTGGTGGATGGATTAGGCCTGCAGTCATTTGCACTGGCGGTCGGTGTCGGTGTCGTTGTCGGAGTATTCGAGACGGGCGTGGCTGATGTTTGCCTGGCCGTGACTGCCTTGGCTTGGGGCTGTTCGCTTCACGCGGCTCGTACCTGCCTCCTCCCCCACCACGGCCGACGAACCATGGCGGCGATGCATGTATGCTGTGTGCGTGTGCGTGTGTCTCTTTGCCGCCCCTGCTCTTCTCATCACGCATCGTCCGTCAGCAAGCTGCCCCCATCTTTGCTGCTGCCGCTGCCGCTGCCGGTGCTGGTGCTGGTGCTGGTGCTGCATTTGCCGTCGTCATTCCCGGTAGTGCGCGTAGAGAAGCCTCTCGTGGCCAGTCCCGCCATCCGCTGCCCTGGGGCCCAAGTGACTAACCCAGCCGGGCGGCTTATCTCAGCGATAAAAATAATAATACCCGTCGCGGGGCAGGCGCGGTGCCCGTTTGGGCGTGGGATGCGCTTGCCAGACATGTCTGCCTTGGCCTCTGCAGGCTCGCTTGCCGGGGGCCAATGGCAGCCCCGCCTGCGCCTGATTATGACGCCGCCAAGCCGCGTCCATGGGCTTCCTAATCGCTCAAAGCGTCCAACGGCTTCTGCTCGCACGCCCACAGCCCGCAGCCCTTTTGCTCCCACAGCCCTTTGGCCCTCGTCGGCCCTCGCCCATGGCCGACTGCCCTGCCTGCCTCTCCTCACCGGTCAAATGCCCATCTCACCCAGCATGACACCGTCTTTTCAATCCCCCAAATCCTCACCCGACATGACAAGTGCTGCTGCATTGCCGCTTACCCTGCGCATCGTGTCGCCGCCGCCCACGTCCTGGATACCGGAATCCCAGGCCATGGTCCGCGTTGGGGCCGGAAACGGGGCGCGCTTGGAGCGAGAGCGCTGCTAGATCATCCTTCGACCCAGGTCCGCTACTCTGGAATCATCCCACTGCCAGAAAGTCGATGAGTCGTGGCCATCAGGCAGCAGTCAGAGCCGGCACACTTCAGATGCCCCAGTCTTGGACCCATTGCGAGGCCGCTGCTCCAGCCATGACGGCATGGACCGCGACTTGGATCCAAGGTGCCGCATCGTGTGTCGTCAACTTATCCTCATGTTCGACGAGGCATGTGTGTGGCGCGACAATGCTTGACACGCGTTGAATCGCGGGGAACGACAGGGGCTGGACTCGCTAATCTGCGCAGCCGATCTCGACTCCAATGTTTCAGGGACGATTTGCGTCATTGATCGGTACTAATCAAACCAACGCGAGAACAACGCGTCCGGAGGCACAATGCGCTTTTTTCCACTGCTTGTATCCCAATCGCCGGCCCCTTGTTTCTCGTCAGATAACTGCGCATGCGCTCCTCCTTCTCTTCTAGGCTGCCAACCTCCATACTGGCACTTTGCAAAACACCCCAGATTTCACGCCCGCCTGCGCTGCGTGCTCGCCTGACGCTCCATACTTTCTCACCAAACGCTGCCCCTGCGATGCCCCCTAAGCGCAAAGCAAACGTCATCCCACCCGATGCCGTCTCTGCGAACAGCTACACTGACCCTTCTGGTAACGCGCCCAACAAGCGCTCGCGCCTAGCCAAACCTCTTGAGAAAGTTTTTGCAAATGCCACGCCACCCGCACATGCAACCGCAAAGAACACTGAAAACGGCGCTCCGGGAGATGCTGTCAAGAAAGAGGAAGGCGAGTTTGACCACTCGAGGCAGGAGGAACGAGCAGGCATTGTCGACCGGCGATACTATCCTGCAGAGATGAGCAATGAGCGATGCGCCATGTACAATGCCAACGAGATACCGCGACCCATTGAGATCCTGCAAAAGACGCTAAAAGACACAATGCAGAGGAGGGAGGAGATTGCAAGTGGAAAAGAGGGTGGGCATGGCGATGCCGTCATGCATTGGTTCAAGCGCGACTTACGCATCCGGGATAACACAGGCTTGTCCAAGGCCGCGCAACTTGCAAAAGAGAAAGGCGTTGGTGTGATTGGCGTGTGGCTTATGAGCCCGCAGGATTGGGAAGCGCATCTTGTCAGTCCACCCAAGTGCGATTTTGAGCTTCGTTCAGTACAGCTGCTCAAACAAGAGCTGGAGGAGCTCGGTATACCGCTCTACATTGAGACGATCTCCGCGAGAAAAAATGTAAAAAATCGCCTCGTAGAATTGGCACGTGAGTGGAACGTGAGGAGCGTCTTCTGCAATCTCGAATACGAGCCCGACGAGCTGCGTCGGGAGGAGCGGCTGGTGCGGATGATGTTGGAACAAGGCATTAGTCTGAATCCGCAACATGATGACTGCGTCGTGCCACCTGGAAGCCTCAAAACGGGTGGAGGAAGACAGTACGCAGTCTATACTCCTTGGTATCGCTCATGGGTTGCACACCTGCACGCGCATCCTCACCTTCTCAACGAACGCCCAATGCCAGAAAAGAACCCCTCGGACTTTCGGGAAAAGTTCGCCAAGCTCTTTGCTTCACAAGTCCCTGATCTTCCCGAATGCAAATCCCTGACGCCCGAAGAAAGGGAACGGTTCAAGCATCTGTGGCCTGCCGGCGAATCAGCAGCCATCGACCGAGTCGAACGCTTCCTCACCGAGAAGGTTGTGGGGTACAGAGATACACGCAACTTTCCCGCCCTGAACAGTACTGGGCGCGTGAGTGCACATCTCGCGGCTGGCACACTGGCCGCTCGCACTAGTGTACGTATGGCGAGGGATGTAAACAGCGTGAAGAAGCTCGATGGGGGAAAAGACGGCATCAAATGCTGGATCGGAGAGGTAGCCTGGCGTGACTTCTACAGGCACGTTCTTGTAAACTGGCCTTATGTGTGGTATGTTTTGCTCGCCATCCCCAACGACCGAAGTACTGACAGCGGCCCAGCATGAATAAACCATTCAAGTACGAGTACAGAAACATCGAATGGGAATACAACGATGCCCATTTCGAAGCCTGGACCCAAGGCCGCACTGGCTATCCAATCGTCGACGCTGCAATGCGTTGCCTCAATCATACCGGCTACATGCACAATCGCCTGCGTATGATAACGGCATCCTTCCTTGCCAAGCACCTCTTGCTAGACTGGCGCCTCGGCGAGCAGTACTTCATCACTCATCTCATCGACGGCGACTTTGCCTCCAACAACGGCGGCTGGGGCTTCAGTGCATCGACTGGTGTGGATCCACAGCCTTATTTCCGCATCTTCAATCCCTGGACCCAGTCCGAGAAGTTTGACGAGAACGGAGAGTTTATCAGGCTGTGGGTAAAGGAACTCCAAGGCGTGCAAGGAGCAGCGATACATAACCCATACCAGGCTGGGGGCGAGGCAGCAAAGGTGGCCAAGAAGAATGGGTACCCGATGCCGATTGTTGAGCACAAGTTTGCGAGGGAGAGGTGTCTGGCTCGGTATAAGGCGGGCATTGGGAGGGAGACAGCGTAGAGCAAATCGATATTGACTGTGTTTTCTGAATTATTCGCCAAAAACAAAAACAAAAACTGCCGCTGTAGGGCCGCATGACCGGGTTTTTGCATGCTGGGACTCTCCTCTCGCAACTTGGAACCGCACACACACATACCCAATCTCGGGTTACGGCCCAGCGTTCACGCGCGGTCCTAAGAGCGGTTTGCCCGCAAAGCGGGGCCCAAGATAAGAAAAGGGTATGCTGTGCGACGACGGCAGAGCTTAGCCTCCTTGTTTTGTGGGGGGTGTTGTATTGTCTACTTTGTTGCGATTCGTGGGGCCACGGGCTGACCAGCACACATTGGAGGCCTAAATTCAGCCTCGCAGACACGAGCGAATCCCAAGGTTGAAAGATGAGACGTTGAACCCAACATTGCCGTGTAAAATTGCTCTTAAGATATCCCCAGCCGCATAGCAACTAGAATACGGATCCCGATATTCCCGATCGAACTAATTACCTGCTCTGCATTTCGTCGCAACAAACATCGTCGTCGTCGTTGTACTTGTAGAAAAAAAGAAGCACGGATCGGCACGTCACACGTCGGATGTGGCGGGCGTGCCCGTGATTAAGGTTTACGAGCCGAGTGCCGTGTTTGCCGTTTAAGCCTTGCTGCAGAAGCTTTTTTTCTTCCCAAGTGCGATATCTCGGATCCACATGTGACATCATGTGTCGACCAAAAGGAGTTTGTATGCATGTGCCCATCAAATCAAATCGATACATGCTGGAGTGCCCTATCTTTTAGGGTCCCAGCAGCTAGTCTAGTAAAAAGTACCAAGTATGTACAGTAGGAACGTCGAGTTTCTCGCCCAGTAATGAACACGAGCATCAAGTGTTGCACCATGAATTCCTGTATGTCAAACCGTCCCACACTGGCCATTTTCTTTATCTGTTTATAATTGTATATGCGCATGTGTGCATGGCTAATCATCCGCCTAATATGGCCCCTTCAATAAACAGTCTTTTACTCGGTCAAATCCAGCGCGAAAAGAGTGTACCCCGTGCCCGACGGGCTCGACGAAAAAGACGTCGTCGCCATCCTGCACGACCACTCGCTGCTCTCGCAAATCTTCTGGCCACACTCTATGGCTGCCGTTCGCGCAGAACAGCCTGGTAATAGTAGTAGTAGCCGCCCTGGAGAATCAAAGTTTCAAGTCGTGGAGCAGAACGGTGGCCTCAGCTTCAAGGCGGCTATCTGCAGCCAGCCCGGTGGAGCAGTGTCTTGCACCGAGGAATTACCCGTCGGATCTCACATCACCGTTTCGTATGCGCTGGTACGCGGGGATGAGCTGGGGGACTATGAGAAACAAGAAGAAGAAGAAGAAGAAGAAGAAGAAGAAGAAGAAGAAGAAGAAGAAGAAGAAGAAGAAGAATGGGCCAGTGATACGGCTTCAACTTTGCTGGAGACGAAAGACGCCAGAAATGACGATAGGCTGTGGCTTGCGGAACAGAGATCAATGACTACATTCAAGGTCTTCTCGCCGTTTGTCAAGCTCAAGGAGGGCGGCTTCGTGCTCAAAACGAGAAACTTGCTGCGTGTGCTGCAGAGCTTGGGTGTGCATGGTAGGGATATGGCTGGGGCGTTGGCTGAGTTGAATGGCGCGAGGCTGGGTGCAGATGGAGATGCTGGTTTGGGAAAGGCGAAGAATGAATGAAGGGAAATGAATACAGAGAGTAACTTTGTTGATCGTAGCTTGGAGAATACCTCACCTCGAGTATGCGATTTTTTTTTCTTGTTACATACATGTATCCGGCCTTCTTCTTTCTGTACACTAGCCGGCTTTCCTGCTACGCCCAGCATATCTACTCGGCATCCGAGTTCCCGAGAAGGATCTGATGTATGGTGCATTGATCAAATCGCATGTTTGCTATAACGGGACGCATGCCACGATGGGTGGTACTAAAGAAGGATAAGCGGCATTGTTATCTGAGTTAGCCTTGGTTGTTTTAGCTGCAGCAAGTGGGTCCCGAGAATTCTGGGGAATACAAGCTTTTCGTCCACTAGATGCCTGTAGAATCGCGGGTCTATGAGACGCCTGAAGTGCTTCGGGCTGGGCTAATGTCACTGGTCATCACATCAGGCAACCAGTGTGTTGTGGCATTGCGCCGGTAACGCCGCTGGAAAAATGGAGGGGTATCAATCGAGATGCTGGAAGGGGAGAGATGGGAGGATGTATAAATAATGCCTTTGCGTCTCTTGGATTGATGTCTCTCCATCATCACAGGCCCTCTCATTCTCTTTTCATAGAGAGGCTTTGGTATCTCACCTCCAATCAATATCTCAAGGCTTTTTGCAAGACACTTGTGGTGCAAAATGCAGAGGCAAGCTGAAACTGACGGCTGCTCCAAAGAGCACTTGCTCGATGACAGCCCAGATGCTTCAACCTGGAGTCTCTTCCACAACAACAATCGCCGTCTGAAGCAGGCAATCAAGGTGCTGGTTGTTCTAGCGGTACTCATGGGCCTGGTCCTAGTCGCCTTTGTCCATCTCACCGTCCAACTCGGCAAGGAACGTGACTTGGTTCTTCACCTCGAGCAACAGATCCAGGAGTACGAGCACCACGGCAACGCCGTCTCGAAACGAGCCATCCCCTGGTTCCTCGGTGCCGCCTTCTGGGCCACGAACCAAATCTTCTCCTTCTACGGACTGGCTAGCAGCTGCAAGTCCTTCAGCGACAGCGCCGGCAACGCCGCCCTCTGCATCTGGGGCGCCATCTCCACTGCAGCCACCTTCATCGGCGTCGCCAGGCACGGCGCGTCGACGGTCAAAATCATCCACGACCGGCTGGCGCAAAACGGCATTTCCGTAGGCTGGAAGCGCGACGCGGTGGTCCTGGAAGCCGAGGCCCAACTCAGCGAGCTGTTCAAGCTCCCCATGACGCTCGACGGCTTCATCCCACACCACCACCCCAAGATCGGGCGCATGAAGCTCGCATCCGGCACCATGTGGCCCGTCTTCCACATGTACAACCACCACAACACCAGCCTGCACTTCACCATGACGGCGTTTGAGCAAGACCACGCCGTCATGTCGTTTGGCTTCGGCCACAAGAGCGACCCGGCCACCATCGGCAAGCGCGAGACCTACCAGGACGAGTACTTTACCAACGGCGGCGTCGACTTTACCGACTGCTTCAACGACGCCCAGGACACGTACCTGCTCAACACCGACGCCGACTACCAGCAAATGGACCGTGATATCCAGTGCTACTTCCCCGATCTGTCAAACACCTGGGGCGCCGAAATCCAGATCTACGATTCTAACATCAGGGGTACGATTGGCTCGGGTTCCATCGCGGCGTTTAGAGGGAGCGACCATGCGAGCAGTATTAGTGTTATGCCGGGTTGCCCCGCGAGCATTCCTGTTTCGGATCAGTGCAGGTCTGCTTGAGGTGGAGAGGTGTAGGGTTGGATGGTGAGTGGGGGGTTTAGGGGGTTTAGGGGGTTTGGATGTAGACTAGATAGCTGAGGAATGGATGCTATCTAAGTTGGTGTTGAAATATGGGTCTGCTGTCTAGTAGTGGATGTGTTGTGGTGCAAGGTGACCGTGTAGATTGCAAAAAAAAACCGCTTAAAAATATTAGATTCTTTGCGTGGCAAATGGCTAAAGTCTGCAATGGTGTGAAGAGCTGCGTGACCAGTGTGAGTATCGTTCTTATGCTTTGCTTGCTTCGCTGAGATACTGGGTAGGATATGATGTTCATAAATGTATGGTTTTCTGATTTTTCGCCAATCGAATTAGGGTATTACTTCTGATAAAATACATGGACAGAGTTGAACGGGCTCCTATCACCCGGAGTTGACTGTGCTGTATCACGAATGGACGGCATCATGATTGAAATAAATCTAGCTTGAATATTAATGCATTTCAATCATGAAATGAGGGGAAAGCTAAAGATGCCATGAAACAGTTTTTTTTACATTGATTAAAAGCTGTGGAAGAAAATATCAGATGGAAACTTGGTTTAAGTGGTCTTTGTATTGGATCACTGCTCAAGAAAAGTACTCGAGCAGGTCAGCTATATATACCGTAGGCTCTAGGGCTAGTGCCAGTACGGTAGCTCACGTAACATATGAAATAAGTACCAAAGGCGCTTGGCAAAGCCGTGTACGGGTGCCCTATAAAAGCCATACATGAAAAATTTTAAAAAGATTGTATTAAGATTTACAAAAGTTCAGTCTGTAGCATTACACAAATTGTCGTGGAACTGAGGAAGTCAAATGAGCTATCTTTAGTTCAATGAACGCCGAGGCCCAAGCACACACTAACTGCATCAGGATTAGCCCAGGGCCATTCCTCTTTGCCACTCCAACAGCAAGTGCACGACATTTAGTAAGCCAAACATCGTCTTTGGACGTTACCCAAATGGTCACGTATAATTCCAACAATGCATAGCTTGCGCATACCCCCTGCACCCTCCATCTGCTACTCGCGTTCGAAAAGCCGTATCCTCTGAGCCAAGCCTGAGCTAGGCTTCAGCGTTTCGAGACTTCTCTGGGTAGTCAACTGTGACTCCAGTCGCTAGGGCTGTTGGCTATACAAATCATATTAAAAACTCCAAGGAATTTTGGATTACTTCCTAAGGCTGCATAATGACCCAGACTGGGAAATGCGACACATGTCGCCAACGAAAAGTAAAGGTAAAAAGGCATTTTGCCTACGTCAATGTCGCGTATTCAGCTTCACACCGGCGTGTCATTTAAATGACATGAATTTGCACTGACAAACAAGCAGTGTGACGAAGAGCGACCCAAGTGCGGTGCATGTAAAAAGAAAGACCGCCCTTGTACTTATTCATATGGGAAAGCATCGGCATTCGTCGTCGAAGACCCGAATCAATTGACGAAATACGGCAAGGCTAGAGTCCCACCCGTGATACATTCTTTCACTTCTCTCGAGGATGCAATTATTTCGGCTTCTTTGGCATGCCCAGAACTACGCGTAACTACCGAAAGAAATGCAGGAGACGGGCAAGGTTTCTTCCAAACGTTGGCGCCAATCTCCAAGCCCAAAGCTAGACAATCGAAAAAGAAAACCAATAACCAACAACGCGCACTGGAAGCTTACCTCGAGCATCTCAAGGAGGAGTCTGCTATTATATCATACCAACCATCGTCACCAGAAACTGCACTGATCTCCCGGTACGTTGGCATGCTCGGATTGGACACTCCTGACAAACAACCTCTCGCCATATTGGGTACTTGGATTCAATCGATACCATCACGTATTGGCCAAAATCGGATGATCGATCTTGCTGCAGAGTTCTTTGTGAATAGCTATTCCGCATACAGGGACCGAACACACTCAAAACGTAGACTTGCACAAGCCACGAAAGCAAAAGCTTTGAGGGAACTACAGCTTGTTGTTCTGAATTCTCGGACCCAGCCTACATATGATGTTTTAATAGCCACGAAAATGCATTTTGCGGCTGAAGTCAGTTCACCGAATCACAATGTATGTCTGAGCCCTACTAATACCTGCTAGGCCCTCATGGGAATCGACACCATGTACCATGCTATCCATGCATTTGGACTTGCCGAGTTGATGAAGTCCGGCAATGTCTCAGAAGTCGATGAGGAACACTACTGGAATCTCATTGATAACACATATGTGGATGATGTGAGTATCTTCTGCAACCTAGATGACATGCCTCGTTAACACCGAAGAGGTCAATGAAGCCATCATGGCAGGCCGACGATCCGTCTATGAAAACGAATTCTATCTGTCAGCAACATACCCGCCGCCAATTGACTCCCCGATTCTTCTTTCGGCCTCACAACGAGCATCTATAGCAATCATGCATGTTTTTATTCAGTGCCCTCATGCAGTCTGCTTGGTCCGACGAGCCGTTTTGAATCCAGACGACACCACGGCACTCGCTTCCGCAGTATCGCACATGGAGTCGTTGATCCAGATCAACCTGTCTCTACATGTATCCGAACTAATGCAGACAGCTATTACAGTTGTACCAATACCTCCGTCTCAAGAAATTGCCGATATAATGCCTGATACGTTGGAATTTGACACGGTGCAAAATATGGTCCTCTGCACAAGATACTGGATGCTGCAAAATATACTTTGTGGGTTTGCTGACACTCTCTACCGACACTTTCCGGCGGAAATGGCGCTCTCGACACTGCCGTCTCCAGAGCGACTTCGAGTCATCGACGTGGACAGCGCGCTGCATCTTGCCAAATCCATGCGCTGGGCAAACTCGGTCTCTCGCGATCTTCCACTTGTACCATTGCGCCTGCACACGCCGATTCAGCTCTCTATTGGTCCCTGGTATCGAACCATTCGAAATCTCTCGGGTCAGCGACCTGCCTCTCCCGACGCACAGGTGGCTTTTGATGCCGAATTATCGCGAGCTGAGCGCATGAAGGCCTGGGCCATGGAACAATGCAACCAGATCCACATACAATGGGAAGTCTCTGCCGTTGAAGAGAAGCCCATCCTCGAAGCCATTGATTCCATGGCTGGCGAGCAGATACCAGATTGGTTGCCCGTACGCGTGCGCTTTGAAGCCGAAGACGGCGAGATGGTCATGAAGCTAGACTATGAGAACAAAACAGGAAGCTACTCGGAGCGCTATGATTTCAACGAGCCACCACGACCCCGGATGCCGCATCCAGGCGAAGATGACCAGCAGTGGCAACGAGAGAATCTGAGTGTCTACGAACTTCCACTCAGGGGTGCTGACATGCAATCTGGAATCACTGAGCCGGCACAGCTCATCGACGGACGGAATAACGAGTATCTGAATTCGCACACACGCCCTGCAGATTTCATACATGCAACGGGAAGAAACTTATGCTCAACATCTGGATGGTGGCCAGAGACTCCCTCGACCTCCACCATCCTCATCGACAGTACCCACAAAGCGTCTGCCTTCTCGCGCGTGTTGCCACCGTCTGGATCAAAAGCCAGTAGTGTCTATTTTGGTGCAAATGGCTGCACATCTCCATCGCCGGGCTCATGGCCACAACCATTCGACGCGTCTTCAACTTCCCCGCGAAGCTCACTGAGAAACTTTTCGTCATCACCAACAGACACAACGAGCGTGACGGTTAAATTTGACAATAGGAAGAAGAATGGATGTTTTTCGCCTGCGTGGACTAACTAGTGATGGATGTAATGCTTGGTATGGAGGAAAGTAGTTCAACTTCAATTATTTGTTGTTATGGCAACTGCGTGGAAGTTTTCGCATGGGAATGCTGATGGAAAAAGTACTCAATCCGATGAATTGCTCCATATCAAATGTATTTGTAATATCGCTGGCATGGGGCGTGGCGGCCCATGTGATATTTGATCTTTCTTATCGTGTACCCGTATTCATTATCATAATTATATTATCATCTAGTAAAGACCCTTCCTCGCACCACTCTTTCCTCGCCCTTCACCCCAGACACAGCACACACTTAGACTCTCACACCAGGCCTGCACCATGTAGGTCTCCAACTCCTTCTCGACAGCCAGGACCTCTTCTCCGTCTCCCTTCCCATCCTCACCTCTATCAACAGCTAGTTCCGGTTCGCCATCAGCTTTGCGCTGCTTGTTCCAAGCCTTGACTTGTTTCTGTGTGGCTTTTTTGAAAACACAGATGCTGGTGCTGGTGTTGAGATAGCTGGTGAAGTCTTCGAGAACAAGAGGGTCGTACATGAGTATCTTCTCGTGCCATGTTGGATTTGCAGGATCGCGGGTAGGAGGGAGGGAGCGGATATGCGTTGTGATTTGTGCAAAAACATCGGGCTTGATGTTGACCCACTCTAGCAGCTCGGTGGATATGCAATGTACACGCATCAGCTGTGCATCGGATTGAAGAACTTCTCTTGTTTTTGTGGGAGGGCCAATGCGTGTCTTCTTGGGCGATGTAGTGGGCGAAAGTGAGACCAAGGGTAAAGGTCCCGAATCGGCGTGTTTACGGATTCGAGGTGGAGTCAGAGAAAATGCTTCGAGGGCATCGTCTTCTGAGTCGAGGATCTCTTCAATGTCGATGAATCGAAGTGAGCCTCCGGGCGGTGTTGAGAGTGCAGCGTTCTCCTTGGTTTTCACTCTGGATTTCGAGGATGATGGTTTTGAGATCGACGTCTTCGACTCCGACACTTTAGGTACGACAGAATGTTGCTTTGGCTGTCTACCACGCTTCTTAGGTGATCCATCTTTTGTTACTGACGCTGACACAGGTGGCCGAAGTTTTGTGACAGAGCTATGTTGCACTTGCGCTGAAGGTGGCGAGTCAAACTCGTCGATGTCGAAGAACTGATGTTGAGACTCTGCATTCTGATTTGAAGGCGGCAGTCCTTGCTCAAATGTATCAATATCTTCAAACTCTCGATCTTTCATTTGGTAGTTGTCTTCACTTAGCTTGGGTGTTTCTGATACCCGTGAAGATGTGCGCGGAGGTGTTGGTAAGTCAGAAGAGACGGTGATTGCTGGAGGAGGATCCCGAGGTATATCATCAATGTCAATAAATGATGAGGGTTCAATAGACTCGTTTCGGACATCATCAGGTGTGTCGTGGGTGCCATCCATGAGCAATGGAATGTCTTGCGTTCGATCAGGTTCGGGAATATACATGTCTTGCATATGCTCTAACATGCCACCGTCATCGTCCCGTGCACTTGCAGCCCACAAACCCTTCTTGCCCTGCACTTTACCAAGTCTGGGCCAACTGGGTTGTGCGAGAAGAGAGTAGCTGTTAGCGTTATCTGCATCTCGCTCAGACTCTTTAAGAGCGACTTGAATCTGACGAATCATTGCTGGAGATTCTTCGAGCGCCAGCTGACTAGATGTACCAAAAAGGACATCTTGTTGGTTTAGTCGCAACATGGCCGCAGCAGGACTGAGCAATTTCTCTGCGATGGGCTTGGGTTTAGCGGCTGATTTGGCCGATGCCTTCTTTGACTTGGACTTGGCTTTTGCCTTTGCTCCAACTTCCTCGGTTTCGCTTGCTTGTGTCTTTGGAGAGCGGCGCTTGCGTGATGGCTTCTCTGTTGGTGCATTGGTATCATGTGCAGGTGTGTCATTCAAAGGCACCGTTGTTGTTGATATTCGAGGCTCGAAGAAATTGTCTTTTGTGGCATTCGAGTCCGATTCTTTGTCTCCGGGTCCATACTGGCCCGTTACAAGATCTGTAATGGTGCGTGGCTTCTTCTTAGGAGCTTTCCCTTTCTCAGGCGACGAGTCACGGGAATTGTTCTGGTTGCCAGGTACCTCTACTAACTGAACACGCACGTCAGCGGATTATTTAACTCATTGCGCACGAATAGCACTTACCTCAACTCGTCTCCTCTTCGTAGCAGCCATCATCTCAACAGCGGAGCTAGTTGCCCTTGCAGCTGCTGGAGCTGACGGTGATTGTGCATAGGCAAAGTTGGAGAGCAGATTTGTAAAGGCGCCTTCCGCATTGTGTACCAATGATCTATTTTCTTTTCCTGTCGAGTCCGTGAACGGCGAAGGTACAGCCGTGTCATGAGGCGGTGTCCAATCTCTTCTGCGCACTGAGGCTTCTTCCAGCTCCAATTCCTCTGCAATCGGGTGTGCTTGTCGCCTTTTAGATGTGGCAACCTTCCCCCGCTGTGGGCTTTCTGGAACTTCCCATATAGATGCAGGCTGGTCATCTGCATTGTCTTGTGTCTCTATCGACTTTTGTCGGGCCACAGTGGTCGAGCCCTCGTCCTTGTCTGCTCCCGCCTGGAAATGTGCAGATACGACTGGTGCGTTGTCTGATTGTTTCTTGCTAACCTTGACAGTCGTTGTCTTTGGCTTTGTTACTCTTGTTCTCTTTGGCTTCGCAACAGGCTCCCCGTCTTCCTCTTCTGGTTTTTGCTTCTTCGCATGCGGCTTGCGTGGCTTTCCAGACTTGGTGAGCTTCGGCCCACTCGTACCCTCATTCGAGGGTTCGGTTACGGGTTCCGAGGCCTTCTCCTCGAAGAAGGGCGACTTCGTAGGCCGTTTTGGACGTCGGAGTTCATCGTCGGAGTCGAGAATCTCTTTGTCTGACTTGGGTTTTGCTTTGCGCGTTCGAGGTTTGGGTTCGGATTTGGCCTTTTCAGACTTGTCGGTGGCCGAAGTAGCCTTTTTGGTAGACCGCTTCCTAGTCTTTTCTACGTTTTCTATAGTCTCTCCCACATCTTCGCTTCCTCGCCGCGAATGAGCCTTTGGTTTCTCGGCGAAGTCGTCGTCCAACCGGCTCGTGAAATGTTCGGATCGGATGAGGCTGCCAACGGTGGCGAATCCCCTGACAGCGCCCTCAGGGATGGGGGCCGCCCTCGGGTTGGTTGTCGACGCGCCGGCTGTCGCTATTCGTGGGCTGGTAGCGGGAGAGAAGGAGAGGGGCGAGGATGCGGGTATTGCGACGCGACGTGGGGGGGCACCGCGTTGCGGGGAAGCCGCCGGGGGACTCGAGCTCAGTACCACGACATCGTAGGTACTGCCCACCATGCTGAGGCGAGGAGGCAGCCTGAAGATAGCCAATTTGAAGGACTGGAGAGGCGCAAGCCATGGGCTCCAGTTGAGTAGTGGGAGTAGGAGTAGCGCAGGGTGGCGTGAACAATGCACGGTTGCTGGCGTCGACTGAAGTTCATTGTCGCAACACCAAAATGCCTATCACCACTTTCTAAAACCCTTACCCCTCCACCAACAAGACATGTTCGTCAACATCTGCAATTGGTCTGCGCATCCTCGAGAGCCTCGCATGAGCTCTCTTATCTTTATTGTTGACTCGGGTTTTCTTTTTCCTGTTGTCTTGGGCTTCATCATAGCATCCACGCCAGCCCTTCAGAGCCTGCAGCCGCCGCCTTTGACCTACTACCTGCTCAGCAGTACATATTCACAGTCGGCGAACTCGCTCAAGGCCGCTGTGACCCTCTCCTCGAGGATCAAGCCATCTCGTCGTCTTTGGCGTTGTGGTCGAGGTATCGGGCTTGCGGAGTACACATCACCGCTTCGTTCAGCGCTGGTCTTAGAGCACTTGTCTCTTCCCACAAAGCTCAGAGATACCCAAGGAGATCTTCGCGACCATCAGTAAGTACCTCCCCGCATCATTGTCGAACAGAATGTATCTCGCTGCTCCTCTTTGGCCATGTCCCCTTCACCCACTACACCTTCCGCGGTGACCCCACCAACGCCCAATCTTGAAAAAAAACTGTTGCGATACACGCTCAGTAGCTAATAGCGACAAAGCCTCGAGCTTAGGTTGCACCTAATACCACCAACAGAGTTCGCTCTGGACAATCTCTTGCCATGATTGTCGGCAAGTCACTTGCCTCCGACAACCAAAGACCACAAGGAATCTCCGTTGCGCTTTCGGTAGCATTTCAACAGCGGCAAGCAGGTTATTCCTATCCTCCTCCAGGTAATAAAGCTCCTAGTCAATGTTGCCTTCTCTCCTTCGTATCTGTATGTCTTGAATATCAGCAACAGAGGGCGGCCAATCAGTAGCAGGCGGTCGTTCGAGTCTTGCAAACGCTCATCGCAGACCAATGCTGATATTTGATAAGGAACTTAGTATCTTTCATCGACGATGTAGAGCCACCCACTACTTGAGAGACCCCCGATCGAAACCCTCGGACGCCCGCTACTGACACGAGCGCTGCAACTTAGCCGATGATGACAACCGGAACCCTCGAACTCGACCCGTACACACTACACAGGTGATACATGCAGGGCTTTTGGTGATAGATATGGTCGTCGCGCCCATATATGAAGGTGTCTAGTTCGCCTAGGGACCTTGAGACATGTCAGGACCATGCTCACCTCGAAACTGGCAACTGGGGCTTTCCGTTTCTAAATGATGGTCACAACCCTTCGCCATACCATGGGCTTGATGGTAGCTGAAGCCCATCATGAGATGCGGCCTGGGAGACTTCTTGTCTGTCATGGACGCGTTCCGTGACCTGGACCAGGTATATAATAATACCATGGATCCAAATTACGTCAACCGGAGACGCGTGAACAACTCCGAGAGTATGGTAACGTAAGGCCTTGGAAATGAACGTATCCTCGCTGGGACCGAACCAACCCCACATGGTACCTTTCGGGATTGTCCTGGAGACTCAAACCATAAGAAGGCCCACCTCTTCTGCGCTGTCACCATACATACACCTTCAGCGACTTCCTCCTCTTTCGGGGAACCCGTTTTCGAATTTAGATCCAGTGATATGCCAAAGTATATAAACTTCGGACGTTATTCCTCGGTTCAACAATCCCTTACACATGACAAGGGAAACAGAGTCGCTGTCTAGCCTCGATTTCTTGGAACCCAATGTGCAGCTTGCAGTCGGCAGTCCTCATTTCATCCCGTTCCCAAAGCAATTCATTCTTCTCAGTATGGACCTTTGCGGAAGATATCGAAAACCTGTACTCGGCCAGGTGCGCTGTTCGCTTGCCAAGTCATGGGTCGTGGCGCATGCCTATCGTTCTAGAGAGCCGATTCAACGACGCCTTCGGAAGTTCTACTACTGCCCCTCAAACGATATGTCCGGTCTGTGGATATGTGCTCGCCGCATACCCAGAGCCGACTGAGAGTGCCTGAACCAATAGCGTCTACCGCCATCATCAGGCTCATCAGCTAATCATATACTGGATGTCGGTCATATCCAACATGCGCCATACCCAGATGCATGATCAGATGATGGAGAGAGCAGCATGTCACATGCCATAGACAGCTGCATTTCTTCGTCGAACTCACGACCACGGTCTTCCAATCCCTGCTCTTGCTCTCCTTATTGGCGATATTTTCTACACACTATCGTCCTATGGGGTTGCGCATGTCGAAAAGCCTGGTGGCCGTCGTGTTCGCCATTCCTTGTCCGCGCCAGCTATACTTGTTGCGTACGTGGCCTACTGGAACTTCAGCGTTGATGTTATGCTGCTGCTTGACAGTGCATCGCGACCTCGCTGTGGCTTTCCTTCAGAGAGAAAGAAGTGACAGACACCTACATTTGTAAAGATGGGGTCATCCTTACAAGCAAGGTATGAAGATCTGCTCGTTCTCTTGTGGCATATTTCTCGGACGCTTGATTGTTGGAGTCTTGCTTCCATGGTAGAAACTTGCGTCAAGCTCCCAGAGTCGCCTACGCTATTGAGCTCGGAGTTCGTCTTGTTGCTCCAGAGGTGGTCTTGGACATGCAAGTATCATTCGGCATGTATCACCCAATACTCTGCATGCAGTCCTCGTGACTGGGTGGTCTGTTCCTCCTCGGGGGCCTTGTCGCCATGGCCTCTGGATCATCCGACAGATGAGGGTTGTCTCGTCATCGCTGGCGGTGGCGGCGGTCGTTCGAGCCTTTCGTGGCCATTTTCGCGAGGATGGGGAGCGGACAGCAAGTTGCCTGCGGTCCGTCCTACTCTCCGTATTAGATCATGAGCACATATGTAATAAGAGGCGAACTTACGAAGCTGCATGTCAGTGGTCTGCGACCTTCTTGGTGGATGTCCAACATCCGTAAGACATAGCCCCTCTCAAGGCGGGGCCGTTCCTGGGGGTACTGCTCGTCTAAGATTCTCGTACGACTCATTTTTACAAGAGGCTCTTTGGCTGCTGGTTGTTATCAATGCGGAGAGCCAGGCGGGGCAGTTGTCACTGCAATTCAGTCTGGATGCGGGGTCTGATGCGGACGTGTCGCTATCGAGGGGTGAAGCAGATGCCATCGATACTTGGAACTCCCGACACGTATTGTTCGTATATGCTCAATCGTCCTCGACCGCAAGGCGATGGAGGGGCATCCGCGCAAGCCAAGATATCGGTCGAAACTGCATGCCGCGATCGAAGTCTACTGGAGATGGCGACGGCACTGGAGCTTCTAACCGCTGATGCGGACAGCCGATCTTGTTCCTAAAGAAACTGCGCATGAAACTTTGTTGTTACAAAGTCGTGATAGGCGTCAGGTCGGGTCACTGCCTTGTGGTTGTTTCCCAGCCACGACACAAACCGGAGTGGTTGTGAGCGACATGGAAGGCTTCTGCAGAGGCCTCGATGCTCTCATCTGCCGTACGAAGAAGCCTATTTTCTGTTGTGTTCAGGCTGCGATGCCGCTGCGTAGTCCATAAAGGGTGGTGGTGTTGCTGCTCTCTGATCGATGAACTACTCCGCGGCGATCTCTAGGTTTTCGTCAGCGTGGTATCGGAAGGCGCACCAAGCTCCTCGTAGCAAAAAGGGAGATGCAAAAGATTGGAGTAAGAAAAGAAATTTGCAGTCTTGAGATTGAGAAGTCGATGGTCAAGAGACAGAGACGGCGAACAAGTCCCACCTTCACGAACCGACCTCTGATGATGCACGGGCCATCGCAACTGGAAGACAGTCCTGAAGGAATGCCGCTGCTGTGAGAACAAGAGGACGGTATGGAGAATACCTTTCAATATCTCAGGCTCTCCGAATAGGTTCAAAGTGCCTTGTCGCACTAGAAACTGCATGCACGTCGCATGGAGTGCAAAGGTTGCGCAAAAGCCCCTGCAGATGGTGACAGAAGGTCTGGGAATGATGGGACAGACAGTGTCGACCAGACAAAGTCATAATATCTCCTTACCAGGAAATACATAAGAACGGGAGATGGAACTTCCCTCTGTGATTTCCAGGAGGAATCACCAGAGCCGCCCACTAGCTGTTGGCTCTGTCTCTCCTTTTCCAGCGAAAGATATTCCCTGTGTTGTGCAAAGGCCTACAGACCGCCATGCACATTGCAAGGCCGCATTGAGCCCGCGGCAACTTGCAGTTAATATGCGGCCTTTCTGCAAGCGTCGAGCTTCTCGGCTGGAAATTTTGCACTGCATATGCTACGGCACGATGCAGAGGGAATTACGGATACCCACTTGTGCAGTAACGGACAGCGCGCAGCATTAGCACACCACCATCACCAATGACTAAAACACGATGTTCGTGTTATCGCGAACACCCAAGGCGAATAATCCCAAAAAAAGCTACAGAGAGGTGCCTTCCACCAAGAGCATACTAAAGCTCATCTCATACGTTGTAGAGATGCTCATAGAGTATCTGAAGAAGACATGTGGTCGTAACTACACGGCATTTAATGTCTGTACACTCGCCAGTGATATGAAGATTTCTCTCCTCACTGTTGATGACAGCAGTATGGTAGGGGTAGGCGTACCAGGCCTGCCTGAATAATCGTGCTCTTTGGTCTAAAAAGGATCCTGCACCGTACTGGCTCCAACGGATATATGCTACCAAAGCAGTAACTCGTAGTAAGACGGTGATATCCCTGATATCAGCTCACCGAGGCGTAAGTGTCTGTTATTGTACAGTCTCCTGGTCTGCACTAGGTTCTTATTTCAAAGACTATGGATACGACAGAGTCACTGGATAAGTCTGTAACTTTGACTCAGTAAGGCAATGATAAACAGCTTTAAACAACAGGTAAGATCGGAAAGATTGCTCAAATGGTTCCAAAGATGGCAGGAGACCGCACTTGGTCCTTTTCTATCCAGCTTATTCTTTTCGCTAAACGGCACATGCTATGCATGCTAAGCTGATACGCAACAAAGATCCCAGGATCAGCAGCAAGGTAAGGCGAAGAAACCCCAAGCAATTTATCTGCAATTTGTGCATTCAGTATCACTCTTCTTTGCGCCTTTTCCCTTTCTTATCACCCGAGCACTGTCTTCTTGCAGCCATTACTCGTTTTCTCAGCATCTTTGCCCTATCTTCAGTTCTTCCATGAAGCCCTATCATTCCCCTCCACAGCATCTACCTCTCTAGCCTCCCCTTTATGTCCTTACTTTGCCCTTACCAAGCCACAAATCTTCCCTTGAAGTCTGCTATCCATATCGCACTCTATCATTCCTCATAGTAATGTCCCGGTCTCTCTCCACGTTACCGAAAAGTGTTCAGATCCACACCTTTCATCCTTCAGCGGCCCCAGAACAAGGGGTTTCGCTAGCTTCACGGCTACAACTTTCCCATCCTCTTTCAGGCTCTGGGATTGTTCTTGTATGCTGTAATGCGGGATGCAAAGAAGACGCTGGGTCCGCGCCGTGTAGGTGACCGTGTGAGAGTGGATGGCGGGTCGAGGGGTGGTGGTGCGCGGTGTGGGCGTGGATGACGAGGGTAGTAAGGGGTTTCTGAGGAGCGCGGTAGGTTCTACGAAGGGGGGGCGGAGAGGGCGGTATGTGACTGGGATCGAAGAGGAGGCTTTCATGGCGTTCTGTCTATGTCAGCATGGCTACTTCCTTCTCGTGTCCACACGTCACCCTGTTCTGTCCTACCTTCTTGTTCACGCCATTGACTCTGTTTCTTCAATCACCGGCACTCTGTTTTCCGTTCTGTTTTGCCCCTGTGTTTGTTACTCCTTGTCATTTCTATGCTGTTTTCCCACATCAACTCTGCTGCGTATCTGTATCCCCTGACGAACAGTGAGCGCTGACTATCCTTGAGTTTGCTGCAGAGGCGCGACTGCATTATGATTGCCATACCTCCGCTCATACTGCGCACGCGTTCTGTTGCGACGAGATGGTGCGAGCTCGAAGTATTTCTGTCGGCATGCCTTGTCTGACCGATCTAGCCACTAAGTCAGCTCGATATCCACCTGGCACTATCATGGTCAAAGACCTTACCATGCAAGCTACCCTGCACAACCTCTGTGAACAGTATGCTGGCCTTCGCTGCCTTCCTCGTTATTCCCCCCTGCCCGGTCCATCGTATGGTTGGTTCGGTTGGCTCTCTACACTCGTAGCCTTGGATTTATCAACGGCGGAGTGTATCGCTCTCCATTATTTCGCGAAGCGGGTGTGCGCCGACTCGGGACTGGCAGATATCGTCATGGATGCCGGTGATTACGCTCGGATGCACCTATGAGACAATCAGTTCACAGAGGCGTACCAGAATTCCTCTAGGGCTTACCGGCAATAGTGTGAGCTCAGGTCTCGTTCGGCTATGCAAGCGCCCTTGCTCGTAAAGTTGCATCCAAGGACCGTCAGTGCTCGTTTCGCGACAGCTTATGCCGAGCGCAAAGCTACCGAATTTTTGAAATTGCGCTGATTCTTGCATCGTCTTCGGCACTTGAATAGGATGTCAGGAGGGTGTAGGGTTGCAGTGGTACCATCATGCGCTTGGCACTGGAGACTCTAGTTGCGCGGCATGGTGCTTCTCTACGACGCCTGGCATGTTGACTTACCGAACAGAACGGTTCGAATTCTCAATCTCTCAGGTATCCTCTGAGCCAGATATCCTTTATGGTTGAAAGCTTTGACCGCGCTTGGCTCAGATGTCTTAGTGGTTTGCTCTGTTGGCAAACCAGTGACACCCTACACGACGCCATACTGTACGCCCTGTACATCCTGCAGAGCCCCTGAGCGTTCTTCTTCTCGTGGTTCTTTTCTAAATGTATGGTGTTCTGCGCAGCGTGGTTGTCCCGGGGTGTGTGTGGTGGGCATTGTGGGAGCGCTTGTCTGGTCAGATCGTGTATTGACTGAGGGACGTTGCTGCTGGGTACCCTCAAGCCTGAGAATCCGTCGGGAAATCATTTCTTCTGAAGAATCAATCGAATTTTCTCAGTTATTTGGCGCAGCGGCGATGTTGGTGTTCTGTTTTGTTGGTGGGGGAGTACACAGGCGAAAGAGATGGAGGGCGGCAAACCGACACCGCTGGCAACTACAGTGAAGTCTAGACGAACTCTGGCCAGAGAATTCAGAACATCCACCTTTGCAGACAGAATCTGCGCGTTACTGTACTACACGGCATCACCAGCCCGCATACTCCACGGCAGTGCGCTGCAAGCAGCCAGTCCCCTCGATACCCCCGTTGATTGTTTGATTACGCCTGTACCTTGGCCCACCGCACCAGCCACGCCGTTCATACGTTTTTGTAAAGGTTGGAGATGCGCTCGTATTCGCATCTGGCCTCCCCATAGCTTGAAGCCTGGTCTTGGTACAGTTTGCTGGAGATACCAGTGCCGGAGCAAACTGCGCTCTGCAAAGCCGAAATGGTGCATATGAGGAGAGAATCACAGAAACTCCTGGTGTTTACGTCCCAGGAACTGATGTCAATGCCGGCATCTCGTGTCTGTCTGCGATACAGTTTGCTCGGTCAGATACAGCCACAGAGTCCCGTATGCCCCATTCGCCGCACAAAGGCTGACCTGTTATCTGTCTGTATCTTTCAAACAGACAGCCTTCCAGAAGCACTTTCATCGAGAGCCCATCTCCTTACGCACACGATGCCTTCGGTCGACTCCAACGAGAACGGCGATAATCACGGCGGCAGTTATCAGCGAGCGTTACCCCTGGGCGTATCCCACACACCATCGATCTCAGTCTGCACAAAGCAGACTCACGGCAACGTTGCGAGGACGGATACATTGTTGGAAACCTGGTGTTCACGCTCCAGTCGCGGTGTGATGGAATAACCCTGGTCATACACAAACTCGGCGCAGCTCTCAGCCTAAAGGCCGCAGCTGATGCGACAAGGCCGACAGAGAACAGACATGTCACGCACAATACACAGACGTTTGGTGGGTCAGAATCAGCCGCGCGCTGGAGTCTTGGAGTCATTGGAGCTCAAGGATTATAGAAACCCTGTCAGAAGCGCATGCCGACGCAGTCACAATGTTTGTTTTTGCAGCGGCGGACATGGACAGAGACGGCACGTCGACTGCACGCCACGGCACCACCGCCGCCCCACGCCGCGAGCATAGGAAATACATGTTGGGGGTTTTGGGACAGGCAATTTGTACGATAGGGCATGGATATAGTGGAGCATATGGGTACAGGAGAGTGTTGTTGTTCGGTCGGCACGAGTGCAAAGGTTGCCTCTCTGTCGGCGCTACGTCCACAAGATGCCATGGACAGTGATCACGCCTTTTCCATATTATACAGAGAGGCGATCTGGGCTTTTGTCTGTACCAAATCATTATTTGTGTCACTGCGCTGTTTCAACGCTGGTCACTGTTCTATTCGTATACTGCGGTGGTCTCACAATAAGAAGGTGACGGAGTTGATGACTTGGAAACGTACATAGTATTGGCCAGAACACATGGAGACAGTTGTACGCAGTGGACAGAGCAAATGATGTGAGAGAGAAAAACAGAATTTGATTGATCTACGTAATATTGCACCCAGTGACTCTGGAACTTGGAACGGCAAGTGCGTGTCAAATTCTTTCAGAGCAGGCACATCTATGTCGCCAGTGGAAAGTTGTGGCATTGGCAGTGGGTCAAGATGCCAACACCTGCAACAACTGGCATTTTATTCTGGGCCATGTTCTCGTGGGCCCCAGCAATTGAAATGCTGGCGTCTTGTAGATGGCATGGTCCCCATTCAACAGCAGGTCCAGGGGCAGGTCCGGAGGATGGTCCAGTGTAAGTTCCAGCGGGAGGTCCGGAGAGGTTCGGCGAGAAATGCGGCAAGAGGTTCTGTTCGATTCCGGCGAAGAAAGATGTAGGGAACTGGAGCTGTAGTGAGAGAAACCTAGAGCCTGTTGTTAGGTTGAACAAAAAAACTGAGCGCCAAAAACAAACGAACAGAACGAAGAAAACAAAAACAAAGGTGGGGAGGGGGAGGGGGAGGGGGAACACTCTCAGACAAAGTGCTTGGTTTTCTTCTTCATGAGTAATCAAGCGTTGAAAGCCATTGTGGTCATCACTGAGTGTCGGCCCATAGGCCACCCCGCGGTGCAAGGTGCAGAGGGAAGGGACAGGGAAGACTTATCTTGCTGCCCCGCTGCGAAGCAATGGGGGTTGTAGGCGTCGTCGGAGACTGGAAGTCAACCGTGCCGTCGCTCTGTGATCATCCATGGGCCTGTAGTACTTCAGTGATGGATCAGAGCCGTTTGGGAGTGCGGACAGAAGGTGGTCTGCCCTCAGTCGTTGACGTATTGATACAAACGTATCGTTGTCATGGAGAACTCAACAACTACAACTGTCTGGAAGACAGTCATCGTTGGACAAGGTGTAGAAGGGGAAGAGAGGGGGAGGAGGGGCAAGGGGAAACTTACCCTGTTGCTCCAATGGAGTGGGGGATTTTGGTGTCTGTGGGAAGGAGGGGTACCTCGCCAGTCTTTTATACCTGTGCGAAGTGAGAGAGAACGTGACCTGTGGTCGGTGCGTTCAAGGCTGCCTTCATTCCGAATACCGGCTGATCCTCGGGAGACAGTGAGCAAACGGAGGTGAGGATCCAAGGATCTTGTTTTTCGCTTTGATATCACTTTTACAATTACATCAGAGTCATTTGAAGACTTCAATTCTACTATAATTACAATGCCCTCCTCCCACAGCAACAACCACGTCACTGACTGGTTGGCCCGCCAGCAAGCTGTTCGCCGTAACCAGCGATCAGCCCAAGACCCTTATCCCACTACCCCTCCTGACGCTCTTTCAACGTCTGGCATGGACTCCTCTGATTCTGTGCTGGCTCTTGCCCACGGCAGGCTGGCAAGAGATCTCGAGGAGGAGTACCGGGTCACGGCCCAAAAATTCAAGGAGTCGACGGCTCTGCTGGCAGAGCTGAGACGGTATCCTCAGTGGAACCCTGTCCCACTTAGGAGGCGTTCGGCAGCTCGAGCAATGCAGCTGTATGATTTGATCAAGATTGCCACCGCACTCGAGATCGCAGAGGCTCGAGAGCGCAGGTTCTACGAGTGGTGGAGGACACTGAGCACTGTAAGTCAACACCAAAAGCTACTTGGAATTACTAACTGACAACGACTGGAGGCCGAGCAACAAGCACGCTTGTCTTTTGCCCAAGACGTGGCTCCTCGCCGATGGCCAGACAAGGCTTGGCTGTAGGCAAGAGGAAGAGACCACCAAGGCCGTATGGCCTTGACGCACGAGTACTACACGGCTCAGTCTCAGCCTACCAGCCGGTCTGGTTCTTCTCCGGTACGTCCATCTTTTGTCAATCTGCATCAACATGTCCATCGCAACTGTTCTGCTCCATCGCCGTACTTCTCCCATAAGCACGGCGGCACGCAGCGTTGCAAGAACAAACAACACCTTTCCTATCCTATGGCTTGGCGGCCTCCAGTTATTCTTTGAACAGCTGTGACCGCCAACCGTATGGGCAGGTCAGGCAACCGCTAATACGTGCTGTCTTTAGCTTTACCATCACTATGACAGTAAGGCAACAGCGGTAACATTCTAACCTTTTGCTTGTTTGTTTTGCAAATAGAAAAAGAGATGCTAATGACGTACAGTTAGTCAGATCCTCTTCATTCGCGCCACAGAGCGCCAACATCCATCTATTTCCGCTTCCTCGATCGATATACCCATTGCTTTTTGCATTTACCAGCACACGTGCACCATCTGAATACATATATTTCTCTTCATATACCCTGGTTGCTTGGAGAAGGAAGCCGAGAAGGCAGAGGAGGATGGCGGAAACAACTGGCACAACAAACTGGCTCTAGGAACAGAGCCTGGTTTTCTTGGATCATCAGTCAATTGAATTACAATCACTTTTCTTCATACATCACATACGATATGTCTGAGTGATTCAAGTGCCTTGTATGAGTTGTGGTCACGGCCGTAACCGAGTTGCGCTGGAGACAGATGCTGCGGATATACAAAAACAGCCCCCTGATCACTGGAATATGACAGACAAATGATACACAACTGAATGACAAATTGTCTTCGGCTTGGTACATTGCTCCTCTTCGAAACATCTACAGAACGATTGTATGTCCACTTCCCTACTCCTCCAACCAATCTGCAGCACCACTGATTGCCTTGCTAACGATATCAACCCAGCGCCTTGCAGCCTCTTCGTTTCCATCCTCTATAGCCTCGACGATGCCAGGGAAGGTTGCGCCTGCGTAGCCGGTCCACTTACCCGGTGCAAAGACAACATGCTTGAACCAACTCCTTCCATCAAGCCCATCGGGGAAGAGAAACTTACGCTCCAAGTACTTGTACTTGGTGTTGACTGTGCGAATAGCCAGGAATAATTGGAGCTTTTTCCACGGTTGCCACCAGGGGATATCGTCGATTTCCGAGTATTGAACCTCAAGATCGGAAGCCGTGCCGTCATGGGTAGTGGCGGAAAAGAAGAAATGGGATACGGCCTCATCAAGAGGTTGCCAGATCTTGTCCGAGATCTCGTTCTGGGTTGCCCTCTGTTTTGTGTGTTTGACCGTTTCGACATACTTTTGCAGGCCGAGCGCATAGTCTGTAGCATTGAGCTGGAGAACAGGCGAGTCGATAAGCTTTGCTGCTACGAGCGCCCAGACCTTTGCGATGGTAGCGTGATACTCGAATCCAGGATCACCGTACTTCTTCATCCAGTCGAAAGAGTCGTAGTTGCTATGATAGTGGTACACAGCAGCAGACTTGGAATTGTCTCCAAAGCCCATGTCGATTGATGGAATGCCGGCAAAGTCTTGGAAAGCAGTGAAATCGCTACCGGATCCCATCGTTCCAATCTTCTTGTCCCATAAGTCGTAGACTGACTGACCAGGGACCGTCTGGTTTGGGGATGCGACCATTTGAACTAAGTGAGATTAGCCAAGTCCGACCAACACGATATCAGTAGACGCTTACCGGATTCTTCAACGACCCTGCTCAGCAAAGGTGCAGCAAAAAGCTCGAAATTCTGTCCTTTTGTGCCAACATCAACGTTGAGATATGCGACAGCTGAGCCAGAAAGCCAGGGCAAGTATTCCTCCACCCATTCCGTACTGCCAATCAAGCCGTACTCCTCCCCATCCCAGCTTGCGAATACGATTGTCCTCAGTGGCTTCCAACCAGCTTTTACTGCAGCACCAAAGCTTCGAATTACTTCATTCAGTGCCGCGGAACCACTATTTGGGTCTCCTGCGCCCCCAGCAATCCAAGCATCCCGATGGTTTCCTAAGACAATGACTTCGTCTGGGATTGTGCCATTGATTATTCCAATCACATTCCACAGAGGCGTTGTAACGTATTCTTGTTCGTTTACGAGATTCAAGACGAGTTCATCCGGAGACGGACCAATGCTGTACTGCACGCCTTTGTAGTCTAGGCCACCGCCGTGCCAGTTCTTGCTGAACGACGATGCTTCCGGTCCGTGGCCATTGAGTGCTCTGAGAAGAGGCAAAGCATCCATATACGAGATAGGTAGGGAGGGAATTTGCCCCATGGCATGGTCGACGGGTTGGCGTGGGCAGCCAGGCTTCGAAGGATAGCCAGGGGTGGTTGGATCTCCTGGAGCAAAGCCTGAAAGGAACGTTAGCTCAGTAATCAAACATGAGGAGCCGACATACTCAAAAACTGGACGCTTCCTCGTTGCACGCTGCTGGGCTGTCTGGCTGGACCATCCGGATAAGCTGCGACGCCATTCTTTTCAGTGATCTCGCCATCATCACCAGGATCGCTGTAGATGGCCACACCGATCATTCCCAGTTCTTGCGCGCGCTTGACAATCAAACCACGGAAAACACCACCATACTTGGCCAATGCGATCTTGCCGTCCAAGCTGACGTTCGCAGCCCTCAGTTCTTCGAAATCGTCATATGTTCCGTAGTTCACAAAGACGTAGGACGCCGTGACATTGCCTGAAGCACTGTATCCGTGAAACGTGGGTATGCGATCTGCGAGTTGGCTCGACTCATCCTCTTCCAGCACGTCTTCCTCCAACCGCGCTTCGTACCTGACCTTCCATGCGTCCTCTGAGATAGTAGAACCATCTTTCTTTGTATTCTCATATCCGCTCTTTTCCAGCAGGGCTAGGCGGTGGCCTTTCGGGTAGTTGATGTACACATCATAATCGACAATGGTACTGGGGACTCCCCATTCCTGCCATCGTTCTCTCGTCCACAGCGCCTGGCTAAAGTTCTTTCCAGCCAGATGCGGTCCGCTGGTGTAGTACTTGCTCCATTGTTCCGCCTTCTCTGCGCTTGGCGTCTCAAGCAGTATGCTCTGTAGGCCATCAAAATCCAATGCCGTTTTGCGCGCCCATCCTTCGGGGATTCGTGTCGCAGGCGAAGACAAGTGTGCCGATAAGCGCGATATGGGATATTCTTCGTCCTGGGTCGGCGGCGCGATGCTGAGAAAGAAGACGGCAGCGAGTCCACCAGCGAATACGATTGCGCTCAGAAGAGAAGTGCAGATGAATCGAAGATGATGGTGTGGATAACGGTCGCGATGTGGCCGAACGTCGACGCGTTGAATCAGCGGGCTCCTTTCGTTCGGCATGGCTGCTTGCTTTTCATTGCTCGCCGGGAGCTGCATATACAGAATAAGATGACGCTTCAATACCTGACCAGAGGCTTTGGGGATGAAAAGAGGAGGGAGCTTCGGCAGCCGCACCGAGCTATGGCGCTTAGCATGAGTTGTATGGCGTCACATGAATGCGTATCTTATCTGCTCCAATTTTAGCGCGTATATCCTGTCAGGGGGGGCGAAGACCGTTGCACCTAGGCCGAACCCCTAAGATTGCACTCCCCATCTTACGTGTGTCTCTTGGCAAAACGACTCGTATCGTATAATTAGTTTTGGGATCTGCTTATGGGTTTATTCTGACCATAGCTCAGTAGCAGGACTTTGGTTGTAGTTCGTAGAGCCGTACAGCCGTACAGCGGGCAGCCATCCCTTTCCGGCATCCTACTGGATGCCTTGCAGTTACATCTAACTGATAAAGACGTATGATACGTGTCTTGCACTAGTATTTCCACATTGAGAATACTGCCAGTGCATTCTAACTAGCCACATGAAGTCCACTCTCTCATATCTCCCGGTACCAGCATAGCCAGTTTTATCGTACTAGCAAAGCTCCTCAATAAGCAACGCAATTACATATCTTGATCAATCGCATGCATATTCACATGTGATACCATTGTTCTTGTTCATTCTAACTTGCACAGCTACTATAACACGTGAATGTGCAAAATGCGTGGATATACCAACACTTATTACCTTTTCAAACCGGCAACGAACTCAACTGACCACCATGAAATTGACATCATTTCTTGTATTGCTTTATCGAGTCTATTTTAATAAGCTCTCTCTTTCTCTCTTTCTCTCTCTCTCTCTCTCTCTCTCTTTGTTCAGTTTTAAACCAGCTTGTCCATTCGTACAAGACCAGTGTGTATCTACATAATGCTGTCCGTTTCCCATAACACAGCCATAGCAAAACGACATTATAACCTAACAACGCGTTCCAAGTAGAATATGAATCTTTTATATTTATCTGACCAATGTTTTCTCCATAATTCAGCCAAACACCAACCTTCGATACATTCTCACACCATTACCCTCACATCACCACTCAGCTGAACAACAAGCCTAACCAACCTTCTACCGTAAAGATGGCCAGTCCTCGCATTGATCCTCCCCAGCTCATGGGCGTCACAGGCGACGAATGCGCATCCTGCAATGCCACCACCGTCCCCCTGTACGACCTCTCCTGCCACACGAGCGACGACTTCCACTGCCGCAACTGCCTCACCTACACCTTCTACCAAGCCAGCGACGACATCGTCCGGTGCCCACACTCTCCGTGCGGGCTCCCCGCAGGCTTTCCCGAGCTGGCACCCCTCACCAAGGACTTCCACCTGGACAACTACTTCTACGACCAAGAGCGCATCGACAAGATCCGGGAGCAGCCCGAAGTCATGGACAACCTCATCTGCTTCACGTCGCAGGAAGTCATTGCCATTTTCTATCACGTCTACAGCATGTTTGAAGACCAGATCCTGGATCCCGTGGCATTCGGCGGCGTCCCGGGATACTTTATCAAGGACACGGACGAGACGCTGCGAGCGAGCTTCGATCTCAACCCGTTTGTGTGCGGGTTTCTGATTGAGATGGGCGGCTCGCTGAAGCTGGTTAGCACGCCCAAGGAGCTGGAAGAGGGTATGTTGTCTCTTCTCAATCGCCTGCTGCACGACTATGCGAGCATGCATTATGGCACCGAGCTGTCCCGTTGGGGCGTCGATTTGACCTCTGAGGAAGATGTGCTTAAGACGGCTTTGGAGAACTACAAGCCTCTCGGGGATATCAAGGAGAACTGGGAAATGATTACTAAGAAGTGGGTCGAGTTGTTGGCTTGGAGGCATGTGGAGCGCCTGGCGCCGCCTGAGGGCGGTGCTGCAGAGCGTCGGGACTTCAAGTTCTGAGGCTATGCAGATGGGGAACTTGGGCGGATTATGATGACCCATGTATCATAGTTTGATTAACGTGGTTCATAAGCGAGCGGACACCCCAAGCGAGCGGACACCTCCCCACCAGCGCGTCAACTTCAACACGTTATCACAGCCTTTTATCACAGTCAATAAACTATTGCAATATACTAAATTAATGATCAGAATCGCTACTATCACTTGCACTATCTATCTCAACTGCGCAGGTACGAGCGTTGTGTCCAGTCTGCTTGCAACGCCCGCACCGCCGCTCTCCTCGCACCCTCTTCGACGCACTCTCACCATCACCACGACTGCTACCCGCCTGTTCAGCTAATACTTCTTGTACTTCGCCTACAGTAAGAGTCTCTTCTGTCCGTACGTATCGCCGCTTGCGGCTTTTACGCTTATTTGACTCGTCAAGAGCCGCTCGAAGCGTACCCATTTCCTCCATCATAAGCGTTATTTTATGTGCCATTTGCTGGGCCCCCTTACTCAGCTGCGCGATCTGCTTAGTGAGTGAATTGGCAGAAGATCCACGGCGTTTTCTCACGCTCTCTTAAATGAGACTAATTTGAGACTCAACTTCGCGCGCGTTGCGTGGTGTCTGCGCCTGCCAGGCAGCTACCCGTCGTGGTGATTGACGAGGTGTCTGCACCACTACATCAAGCTTAGATAGCACAGCCTGTGGGTCGTGTGGGACTAGACCAGCACCTCTGAAGCCAGCTTGGATATTCTCCTTCGTGATAGACTGCTCAAAAGCAGCCTTAAAGGCTGGTAGGAAGGTTTCCTTGCTAATATAGTAGGTGCGGTTGCGTGCCAAGCCTAAAACAGCGTCGCCATACTTGCGCTTCAACGGCGAGAAGCAGGCGACGTTAAGGGGCTGCAACAGGTGAGACGAGTGTGGAGGCATGCAGAGAAGAATAATATTCTTCTCCTTGCAAAGATCTTGAAAATCGATAGAGCAGTGGCTCTCATGGCCGTCGATAATGAGCAGTCGATACCCACCCATAGTATGCCTCTTTGTATGGGTATCAAAGTGCTCTAACCAGGCAAGACCAAGCTAATTATTCGTCCAGCCATTAGGACTGACTTCAAGAACCTAGTCGGCAGGCAAATCCTTAAACTAGACGTTGATAAGCACCTTGCCCGCAAAGACAACGAAGGGTGGTATCCGGCGACCTGATGCGCCCACGCCTTGGATCACAGTAACCCACTCGCGGTTGCCTGGCTGTATCCGCTTCTTTTTCCCATATCCTTCTGAGCCTGTGATTAATAACTGTGATAAAATCTTGCCCATCATAAAGCCAGTTTCGTCAAAGTTGTAGATATCGTCGTCCACAATACCCCACTTCTGCCTTGTCGCCTGGACTAAGTCAAACCAGCGCTGGATAGCCACTGGGTCCTCGCAGGCGGCTCGCTGGTGATCATAGGGACGGCTCCAGCGCGTACGGAGCTCAGCAGTCCGCCTAACAAAGTTGTCAACCCAGTTCTTGCCAACAGGGTTGCCACCACGCTCCTCTAACAGTTTATCGGCCATTGCTCGAACCTCAGCCTTTGTAGGCGCAAATCCTCGCGCAGACTCTTCAAGAATACGCCTAACAATAGCCTCCTCTTCTAGCTTATTCAAGCGCTTTGAATTTGGTTCGCAGTCGCGTCGAGAGTGTCTTCCAGCGCGTCGGTAAAATAAAGTTATTCAAGGGACGCTATAGATCTTAGCAGCACGTTTAACACTCTTTACACGTTGGGAATTAATATTAGAAATAGCAAGTTAGATATCAGCTTCAGAAAAAGTTTGTTGAATCTGATGTGGTTGAGACATAACGCGTTGTAGTATGAACGTCGACGCGCTGGTGGGGAGGTGTCCGCTCGCTTGGGGTGTCCGCTCGCTTATGAACCACGTTACTAACTTTTTTTCTTTGTTATATTCATGATTAGTTTGAATACCACTTGTTGTCTTTGCTTGGAATATTGGCACGTGTTCCACTTATAACCCCTGAGTGATGAAACAGTGAGATGTATCAATAACTTACCGTACTATAGGAATTACGAGATTCACATTTGCACAACACCAAAGAACACAGCATTTACATCACTTGCACAATCAAGAAACGCACAATCTTTGATCCAAAAAAAAGATTTGAAATTCAATAATAAGCTACAAGAAAGGAAGAGGGGGTATGTACTATGCACAATGAATCGAAGACACTCGTTACGTCTCGAACGAACGAAGCTCAGAAAACCAAAAACACACGCTATGATATATCATTTCCGTCCCGCGTCGCTTATAATAAAAAAAAGCGCGCTTAGAAGAAAGAGCGAGCGTGGTGGCGAGCCTTGCCGGAAGAGATGCCGGCCTTACCCTCGAGCCAGGTGATGAAGGTGTCGATGGTGAAGCTCTCGGGGAGAGCGTTGCCGCCAGAGGGAGCAGCCGAAGGAGCAGGCTTCTCAGCAACAGGGGTGGCAACGGGGCTCGTGGCAGGGGCCGAGTTGCCGCCAGGGGCAGGGGCCGAGGAAGAGTTCGAAGGCGTGGGAGTGGTGGAGCTGCCGGCGCCAAAGAGAGGAGGACCAGGAACGGTGTACTTGATGTCGCTGGCGTAGACGTTGAAGAGGATACCGGGGTCGGTGGGAGTGTACAGCTTGGTGCCGACAACACCCTCGGGCTTCTCGGTGCCGCTGCCAGTGACCTCGATGTTCAGGCACTGAGGGTAGTTCTGGGCACCGTTCTCCTGGCCAGCAGCGTGCAGCGCAATGATCTCGTGGCGGAAGACGTACTTGCCGGCAGCGAGGCTCTGGGGGACAGTGACGGACCAGGTGTTGTTCTGGCCGATCATCTTGACGGCAGCCCACTGGCCGTTCTCGTAACCAGCACCCTCAATCTTGGTCCACTTGAGATCCTCCTTCTTGACGGACTCAATGTCACCACTGTAAGCGGCAACGTAGGTAAGGACGGGGCCAACGTGGGACACAGGCCACTCGGTCCAGTGGAACTCGACAGTGCCACCAGCGGCAACCTTGCTCAGGTTGTCGGAGCTGAGCTTGGGGCTAGCATTCTTGTGGCAGATGATGTCGGGCTTAGTGTAGGAGTCTGGGCCAACGAAGCCGTTGTCCAGGTTCTCGGCGTACCAGCCAATGTGCTTGGGGATGTTACCACCGTATTGGGCAGCATAGTAGTAGTCGAGCTTGAAGCCCGGCTCGAAGACGTTATCAATGGTGACACCAGTGACGGTACCGTGGGCAGCGACGGTAGCAGCAAGAGCCGCAATGGCGGAAACGGAAGTGAGAGTCTTGTACATGATGGCTGAGAGAGGTATTTTCTGAGAAGGACTGAAGTCGTTGTTCGGTGGAAACGAATGTTCGATGGAAAGGAGTCTGAAAGAGTGTCTGCCTGCTTCACACAGTGAAGGTTCAACGAATGAATGAGAGCGAAAAAAAAGAAGGGATTGGTGTAGAAACCGAAGACAGAAGCTGCTGATGATGCCTTACGATCGAGGACCTTGGTGCCCTATTTATTCAGTAGAAGCCTACTGCCCGCGCCCTGTCGACCCACAGCTTGGGCGAGTCGCACAAGGCTGTCCCGCGTGGCGGCACCGAGCCACTCGGTCAAACAAAGCCTCCACTCGATAGCGTGTCAATCGCTAAGTTTCCGCTTGGGGAGTGACAAGCGACATTGGCATGAGGCGCAGGAGTTCGGTGCAGGCGGCAAACCACAGGCTTGGAAACGCCATGTATTGGCATGCCCTGATATTCCGCCGGCGGTATGGCTTGTACACAGGCGCCGGCATAGTTATGAATCGCGTGGGCTGGCGATGCAGGCTTCTAGGTACAAGAAAGCGGGTCCGACATGGTCGTGGTGGCACGCATCACGCATGTTCCCGGTGTTTTGGCCGTGCATATCGGCGTCGCCAAGATATTAATTGTTTGTGTCAAGAGGAATACCGAGGATCACTGCGCCTCCGGTGGCGCCTACGCATAGCTCAGGCTCCCGTGCGTCTCTTGCGGGCCTGACCCTTCGGTGCTCGTGAACTGCAAATTTGGTGTTTATGCGTTGGCGTTAGCTTGACGCCCGTTGGCGTTTCGTTGTGAACGCCATAATAAACAAAGAAAAGAAAAACCCCACGCTGTCCAGCACTTGGGTCATCCCGCAGTTCAATGCCGTGTCGCATATCCCCCGAGCCGTCCGCCGTTAGGTAGCCTGGTCCACAGCTGTCTTGTCACCGGCGTTGAAAGTCGCGCGCGCAACGGTCATGCCCCCCCTGACAACGCTGCAAATCCTGACGACCCACTCCCGCGCCGCCCTACCAGGCCTCGCTTGTAAACTTTCGCGTTTCGAACATGAAACTACGGTTTTTCCTCCAATGCTAGTGCACGGCGAAGACTACTCTGTTGAGCTTGGCCCGCATAATGGGTGACTTAAGACTCGATCGTGGAAATTGAAGTTGAGATGAGGCACCGGGTAATCGGACAGTGAGGGGGGTTCCTTGGATCGCAGGCGGCAGTCCATGTGCTGTGTCGCAGCCATGTTGTTTTGTTTCTCTTCCGCTAACTTCCGTCGTCTCTCCTCGGCAACTTGCGTATTTTGCCGCCGTGTAAGCGCTGTGTCGTGAGTTGTTTGATGTTTCCAATGTGTCCGTCACAAGATATGCAAACGATGAACAGTGCTCCGCCCAGCTATTCTGCCTCGTTATTCATTACTCATATGCACAAACCAGAATAACCCGTGCTATGAAAAAGTAGCCTCGCGGCTCACAGCTAGGAACTGCCTGGATTCAGCCCCTAAATCTGACAGTGTAACAGAATCTTGATGTTCAGCCGCTTAGATTTCTTGTACCTTCCTGTTTGAACCATAGGAGAGGGCACTGTTTTCTTGTGCCCTTGGCCGCGACACTAAAATAGCAAAAGGCCCAGATCGCGAAAGGGATCAAACCTGGATTTTCATAGTGCCTCTGCAAGGGCGAGTTCTGCACACTGCTTGTCGTGGACTTCCGTGAATACAGCTTGTCGTGGACTTCCGTGAATACAGCTTGTCGTGGACTTCCGTGAATACACGTCACAGGCGTAACGCTGCAAGTATTCAGGCCGCTAAGGCAGGATGGCTCTGTAATCGTTGCATGTTTTTTGAACGACAGAGTCGTGTTTGTGTGTTTCAGATACAACTAAAAGAGTGGGTTGGCGAGATAGGGGTGATGTGATGGTTTGGACGAGAAGAGAGCGACGGCACAAGGAAGCGACCAGGTATGCATAATCTCTGAAGTGGGAGTGGTGGACATTATATGGTGGCCCGAAATTGAAGAATTGCTTCGAGATAAATCCTCATGTACTTGAAATTACTACCCATTAGCATTGGTATAGGGAGAATTGACAGGCGACCGTACCTGGAAACATGCGCAAAAGCTCGCATACATTGTGCCCATCACCCCTCGCGCAACTTGACCTGCCCTTTACTCTAGCCATGCTTGGATGCCACCGACTGCCAGTACTGCGATGCCCAACACCCATTGCGCAACTCCAAATGCGCCCTGGATATCGCCCTTCTTAATTGTCCATAGAATGGCAAATGCCGCGCTACCCAAACCACAGATACCCATCGTAACCGCCCAGACACGCTGCGCGAGGAAGCCCTCTACGAGATGGACACCCCAACCCATACCAAACTCTAGCCGTTGTCTTCGCTTCGGACTACGAAGATATGTGATGAGCTCGCCGTCATAGTCGTTTGGATGCTGGAAGAGATGGACGAGATAGGTGCTGCCAACAGGAGGCAGAAGATCGTTGGGCTCAAACGTATACGGATGCTCAGATGGCGCTTGGCTGTTTCCTGCCTCGGCACTTGTCGATGCTGAAGAGGTTGCAGACTTTGGAGGCATGGATGGCGTGGCGCGGATATCAGCAAAACGGTTGCGGTGAACTTCGAATTGTACAAATTCGATGGTTGCCAGTCCACGCAAGCGAGTCCAGTTCAAAAATCCGCGATGGAGCTGGTCGTAGTGCTCCCGCAGAGAAAGCGCTAGATCTTTGTCACTCCTGATGCGGCCTTCGTTGACATCGAGATGCACAATCTTGGGTGTAAGGCGCCCCTCGTTTGCGCACGTGAGAAGCCACGATTCCTGAGCAAAATTGGGCATACGGACACTAAACGAACTGTCATTTCGTATACGGGATGGGCTGTACTTAGAAGAGTCATTGCCTCTAGTCCAAGAGGCTGGACCACCATATGTGGATGATGGTGTTGCTAGTGTTGAAGCTCTACTGGAAGAGTCGAAGATAGAGGCCATGGACGATACGGTGCTGCTTGGGCTGCTGTGACTTGATGGAGTGTGAGCTCTTGGGCGGTTTAGGTAAGCTTCAAGGAGACGAGCTGCATTCGGCCGCTGTTCGATAAAATCATCATACAGTGACTCTCCACACGACTATATCACATTAGCACAGTCAATAGCGACTTCAAATCCTGATACTTACACAAGCCCAGCGAACACGAACATATCCTTTTGGAACAGGCCGCTCAGGACCAACCGCATCTCGAAGCAATTTGAATCCTTCATACACCTTGTCTGACAGCGCACTAAGTGCAAGACCCCAATACATTAGCGTCGGGTGGCGCACACCAGTAGGTGCTGACCTAATCTCGATTTCCGATGGGAGCGGTATTTCGCCAACATGCACTTCGTCTATGGGTTCAATAATCTGGGGCACAGGAATGTCCTTGGTATCAGCACCTTGGTCTCCAGGATCCAGGTCCGGAACAAGCTTATTCAAAGCCCTCCTCAAAGCTGCTTGGAGCTCATCCGAGTTACTTTCTTCCTGCCACTCAGGCGAAGATGGCATGTCAGTATCGCCTGCATCAATTGGCGAATTTGACGAGGATTTTAGTCTTCTCGTCCTCGGCGAACTCTTCCTTTGGGTTACTGGTGATACGTGTGCAGATTTAGTTTTGGGTACGTTCGTTTGCAACCGTAGCCCGTACTTGGACCTTGCAGGTAACTGTAGATCGTCTGCCGATACTTGACGAAGGTGTCGCGGTCTAAACCCACTATTGTGTCGAACTGGATGCTGCCATGTCTCGTATTCATCGGATGTTTGATCATAACCATTGGATTTGTGAGGTGCTGGGCGAACACGTTGTCGCAAATTTGCAGACTTCAGGTAAACCTCAGCAAACGAATTGTCAGTCGCAGTGGTAGTTGAAGCAGAGCGACGTTTTACAGATTTCTGGGCATCTGAGCGCTTAAGCTCCAGCTGCGTTGTTCGGCAATTCGTTCGAAGACGTGTTCTCTTCTCAACTCTCTTTCTCACAGGACCAATGAGTGAAAGGCCGCGGGTTGGTGTCTTCACTATGCTGGAGACCGAGCCCGATCTGCTGGGGGCAATCGGCCTAGGCTGAGAAAGGGGCTCGGAATCTGTTTGCTCTCCATCTGCGCGATCATACATTGAGCGGATATCGGGAATCAAAGTTTCTGCATCACTCATACCGTCTTCTGCGACTGAGTTCCGTGCCAAGCTGCTTCCCGTCAAAACTCTAGATTGTGTCGGATGATTCGGATCCGACCTAGGAGTGGCAGTGTTTTGTACCGTGATGATGCCATCTTCGTTTGAGGTTCCAATCTCAAAGACATCAGGTCTATCGGCAAGACTGATGTGAGTGGAAGGGGCAGGCGATGGGAGAGAGCAAAGTTCAGCTGGCAAAGTCGCGGAATCAAGCTCGTGGACGTTGTTCGTCTGGGCTTTGGTGGTCTGTGAGCCCAAATCTACTTCTGCAATCTCATCCAAATCCGTCGCAGATCCCTTTAGTAGCCGCACTACGTAGCCTTTCCCTTTCTTCTTGATCCTGGCTTTGATATCTGACAGACGCTTTGACTGCGTGGACACGGTCGAATCACTTCGAGAGAATGACACGTTCCAGTCTGGTACAACTTTCTGAAGAAATTCAGGTGGTACGTGGTCCAAATCAGCCCAACCCTGCTTTTCCGAAAGCGGAGTCGTAGGTGGACTTGCTGACTGTGGCTTGGGATTCGCATCGCTCGTGGAAGCGCTAGTGGTTTGATGTTGAGGCTCCACTGGTGCATTCAAGCGTATCCCATCTGGTGCCTGTAGGTTGGAACCAACGTTCAAAACGAGTTGGAATTGGCCTGGGTTGCGAGCATCTTCTTGAAGTTTCAAGGTAAAAGGCAGCGACTGCGTCTGTTCATACTGCGGAAGAGGCGTCTCGCGCCCTGGATCGACGGCCTTGAGCTCATTAGTCATGCGCCGAGACTGGTTGAAGCGCAGCGGTGCAGGAGATGCTATTGTGGAAGTCTATTGCCCATTCTGTCAGCACTAGATGAAGCATGCCCACATGTCCCCAGCTCCGCGACGGCAACTGACGGTCGCCGTCAACCCGTGACAGAATCGTACAGTCAAAGCGCGATACACTCCTACAGTACAGTCAAATCGCGACAGAATTAAGTATACACTTACCATGTTGGCATAATGTCGCGGCGGCTGGATTCAGGAACAAGAGCCTGAGAGGTGCAGAGAAGGGCGGCATGTCTGCGTTCTTGACCGGTCGGCGCTGCAGTCAGGTGTATGGCGAACCGGCGACAGAAGGCTGCTGCGGTCGTTCATGCACTGCCACCGCCCCTCCTGCAGAGCCATGAGCGAGGCTGCTGTGCCGCACAGCTGATTGGCGATGTCTTCTCGGGGGGAGCCTACATGGACGGAACCACGGACTACCTGGAACTCTCTCGCCCTGTAAAATGCGCATGTCTTGTTGCACGCGCAGTCTAGCGGGTTGTGCAGACGTAGCACACGAGAGGGCGGTACAGTCGCCGGCTGCGTAGGCATCTAGGCAAGTAGCAGCCTAGGCTCCAGGAGACGGCAGACGGGGAGACGGCACGTATGACAACGACGGGTCTGATGTGAGGCTGATGCGAAGGGCTTCACAGAATAGAAATTGACACGTAGGTGGATGGGCGGGCAGTCAGGAGGCTGATGAGTTGAGGTTGAGATGCGCGCAGTCGCGTCGCAGGCAGGCAGGGCGCGTCATAGCAAGCCCACGAGTTCCCACCACCACCATAGGCATCCTCGTGGCCATGCCCTTGGTGCGTCATACCATGTGCTGCCATAACTCACGCCCTACCGTGGGCATGGGTTGTTATTATTGTTATTTTCCTATTTCTGCCCTCCAAGGGCCATGACCGTGATGCAGGAACCAAGAGCTTGGCTTACCCTGCTTGCGGGTAATATCCAGTCATGTGCTCGTCCCCGTCTAGTCCGTACAGAGCACTGCTTCCGCTCCCTCGGCCAGCCGCCGACGTCTCCATTTGCCATCCCTCGTGCCAACTGACATGCCTCGGTGTATAAACGGCCGGTTTCCCCGCAACGTACGATGATCCTTACCATGCCGATCCACCTCGTTTCTCCGGGCTACGGCGTCAAGATTCCCCGCCATTGGGAATCGTGGGTTGGGCGGCTACTTGCATTGCTGCATCTTATACGCCAGCATCGCCGTAACATGAGGGGGGAAAGCTCCGTGCTACTAACTCGCCCAAGCCCCATGGGCCGGCTCCAGAGCGGGTACCTGTCTGCATGGCGGACTATCGGCCAAGCAGCATGTACAGTACTTAACCTTGTTGTTGGCGTTGCTTTATATACCATATAGTCTTCTGTGCCTAGCGGGGTTTCTGGCTATCATCTTGCACACATCTCAAGCTACCAAGATGCGCCTCTCAACTCTCTTCTTGTCGCTCGCCAGCGTGGCCTCTACCACTGCTGCTGCCCTCTCCAAGTTCCAGTTGACGCAGCCTACATTCTCCAATAACGTCATTTTTACGCCTCCCAGGAACGCTGGCTGGACTGACCCGGAGGTCCTGTATGCCCGCAGTGCCCAGCTCAGCGACGGCTCGCTCCTTGCAACATGGGAGAACTACTCGCCTGAACCGCCCAAAGTCTACTTTCCCATTTACAAGTCTGTCGACGGTGGTCAGACATGGAAGGAAATCTCGCGTGTCCAGGATACCCAGTACGGGTACGGCCTGCGCTACCAGCCTTTTCTCTACGTCTTGCCTGGAAGCATTGGTGGTTACCCTGCTGGAACGGTCCTCATCTCCGGCTCGGCCATCCCTACCGATCTCTCCACCACGCACATTGAACTCTATGCCTCTCGCGACTCCGGCGTGACGTGGGAGTTTGTCTCTCACATTGCCGCCGGTGGTGAAGCTCGCCCCAACAACGGCCTGACACCTGTCTGGGAGCCCTTCCTGATGATGCACAAGCAGACTTTGATCTGCTACTACTCGGACCAGCGCGAAAATGCCACTTACGGCCAGAAGATGGTGCATCAAACCACCACTGACCTCAAGACCTGGGGCCCTGTTGTCAATGACGTGACATACTCTCCATACACCGCCCGTCCAGGCATGCCCACTGTTGCCCAGCTGCCCAACGGAAAGTACATCATGACTTACGAGTACGGTGGTGGTCCCGCTATCCCCAGCTCTTACCAGTTCCCCGTCTACTACAAGATTGTCGACGACCCCGAGAAGTTTGGCGCAGCCACAGGCATCAGCCTCAAGGCCACCGATGGCACAATTCCCACTGGCTCTCCATACGTCGTCTGGACCCCAGCTGGCGGCGACAACGGAATGATCATCGTCAATGCATACAGCGGTTCACAAGTCTTTGTGAACAAGGGTCTTGGACAAGGCGATTGGGTCAAGATCGACACACCCCAGCCCAACGCTTACACCAGGGACCTTCGCGTGCTCAGTGACACATCCAAGTTGCTGATCATGGGTGGTGGAAAGCTACCCCCTAGCACCACCAACGCGATCAGCGCTAGTGTTGTCGATATGAGCACATGGTAAATATGAAGTATGCTGTACATATCACAGGAGTATACCTGCTAGTTTTCAGAGCTCTAGTCTGAATGTGAACACTACGATAGTTAGATAGCTGCACCCTAATGGACATGTCTAGGCTTTTTCTATTCTCTGGGCTTAAACCATAAGCCAGTGGAATCGCTAGTGAACTAGACATGAAAGTATTCTTAGCATATATAACGTTGATCCAATCTGAGCATTTCACATGCTTTCTGTGAGCGGTGAAGCAATGCCGTTAATTTCTCGTTCTTTCAATCTTCATTCCAGGCGCGATTGTGGAACTTTGGCGCATGCACGTGGGATTCCCGCGGATAGATCGAAGTAACCGCCTGTGTGGTTTCTGTAAGATATTACGCCTTTCCGAGTCGAATTATCCAACAAATAATCCAATCGATGCGACGTTGGCAAAGTGCAACTTCTCACTCGACGCTCGCGGCCCAATGATGGGTTGCGCAGTGCTAGTAGAGTCTCGGCAACCATCTGACAATGTCCCACCCATCCACTAGCGCCGGGCCGACCATTCTTCCTAAGCGAGCCACTGTGAGCGCAAATTGAGCATCGCGACAAGGACAATTTGCAGCAACCACCGTCAAGCCGCGAACGCCCCGTCTCTCTCTCTCTCTCTCTCTCTCTCTCTCTCTCCCGACCGACAATTTCTTCTCCAATACCGACAAAATGGGTGGTGTTACCGTCAAGGACATTGAGTCTCACACTTTCGTGAAGGCGTACGCCGCTTTCCTCAAGCGTCAGGGAAAGCTCCCCATGTAAGCACATGTTTTCCGGGCAACAAAACAGTCCAAAAATTATATGACCATAGCGCTAATACATTTTGCCAACAGTCCAGGTTCGTGTCTATCCAGCGGGTGAAGGATGCAAAAAGCCTGAATCCCGTAAATGGGGGATAAACCTCAGTTCGCTGACTCTTATCTACAGGCTGGGTTGACACTGTCAAGACGAGCCGTACGTATTATCTATCCGAGACTCCAAAATGACGAGGACGAGGAAAATATCTTCGCGCAGGGGTCTTTTTGCCTAACATTGCACAGACTCCAATGAGCTTCCTCCCCAGGACATTGACTGGTTCTACGTCCGCGCCGCCGCCATTGCCCGCCACATCTACATGGTACGCGAAACCCCCCACACATATACCAGCCCAGGAAGAAGAAATCAGAGTGCTGATAAAATGAACAGCGCAAGACTGTCGGTGTAGGCCGCCTCCGCAAGGTCCACGGATCCACCAAGAACCGCGGCTCCCGCCCCTCGCACCACGTCGACGCCTCTGGCTCCGTTGATCGCAAGGTCATGCAGGCTCTTGAGAAGATTGGTGTCCTTGAGCAGGACGAGGACAAGGGTGGCCGCCGCATCACACAGTCTGGCCAGCGTGACTTGGACCGTATTGCCCAGACCACCCTCGAGGCTGAGGAGGAGGATGACGAGTAGATGTTTCGCACAGGAATATGATGCGCGGGCAAAAAGAGCTGTTCTAGGCATTTGATTGCGGGGCGGTTACGGATCTACACGGTTTACGGCTCATGGCGTTGAAGATATGACTTCGCTGGGCCTGCTTTTAGCCTAGGACAACCAATGACACTGGGCTTGGGCCTGAAAAGCAACATGATACCCCTCACTCTCTTCTGATGCTTTTTTTTTCTTAATAGTTCCAGTGTGGCGACATGGGCAAGATGGAATTGGCTTAACAACAGGCATCTCGTGATATTATACACTCTCGTCCTTTTATCTATCCACACGTTGTACCAAGACACGTCGTCTTGATCCAGACCCCGAACCCCAAACCCCGAATCCCCCTCCGAATCCCCAGCATTTCAATAATGATCCAATGCTTCAAAACAAGTCGGTCATGGCACCATGGCTAGCGTCGCCCACCAGCCGAGCATACTTGGCCAGCACGCCCCTCGTAACTGGCATGCTAGGCGCCACCCATTCTCCCAGTCTCTTTCGAATCTCCTCGTCACTCAGGTGCATATCTATCCTGTTCTTCTCCGCATCAATCGTGATCATGTCACCATTCTGTACAATTGCAATGGGCCCACCCACAGCCGCCTCTGGACAGATGTGGCCCACAATGAACCCATGCGATGCACCAGAGTACCTGCCATCTGTAATTAGAGCCACGTTGGTCAGTTTGGCGCCCATGATGGCCGCTGAGGCTTTGAGCTGTTCTGGCATTCCAGGGCCTCCCTTGGGTCCCTCATAGCGTACTACTACGACAACGTTCTCACCGTGTGGGATCTGACCGAGGTTGAGTGCACGGTCGAGTGCGTGCTCTTTGTCGAAAACCATGGCTTTGCCAGTGAACTTGAGACCTTCTTTTCCTGTAATCTTGGCAACTGCACCTTCGGGAGCGAGATTACCACGGAGAATCTCAATGTGACCAGTGGGTTTGATTGGGTTATCCAGAGGACGGATAAGGACTTGATCCTGGGGCAGGGATGGGTATCCCTCGATGTTTTCCGCCAGTGTCTTTCCGGTCACTGTGGGAATGGAGCCGTCGAGTAATTTGGCAGCCACGAGCAACTTCATAACCGAGGGCATGCCGCCGATTTCAAAAAGATCTGCGGCCATGTAGCGGCCACTGGGAGCCAGGTCGGCGAGGAAGGGGATCTTATTTGAGACACGTTGGAAATCGTCAAGCGTTAGAGGGACGCCAGCTGTGCCAGCCATGGCGAGGAGATGTAGGACGGCATTTGTCGAACCGCCTAGCGCCATCATCATGACGAGTGCATTTTCAAAGGAGGCCTTTGTGAGGAGTTTGCGAGGCGTGATGTTCTTCTCCATGCAAACGCGGATGGCAGCCGCAGCTTTGGCGCATTCGCGCATTTTCGCAGGCGAGGTTGCAGGGGTGGTCGAAGAGTTGGGGAGGGAAAGCCCCATCGCTGCAGTGTGTCAGCATATGGCAGTTTTGTATATGGAAAGCAGAGGTGCACCATACCCTCAATTGAGGTAGACATGGTATTTGCTGTGTACATGCCACCGCAAGCTCCAGCACCAGGGCATGCATTCCTTTCAATGTCTTCCATGATTTCATCGGGCGAGAATTGTCCTTCAGTGGCGCTCTTCAGGGTCTTGTATATGTATGCGCCATGGCTCTCGTAGCACGCGGATATGTTGATGGGCTTCTTGAGTGTCTCTGAGTAGCCTGGCATTATGGAACCACCGTAGACCATCAGCGAAGGGCGGTTGTGTCTCGCGAACGCCATGATGACTCCGGGCATGTTCTTGTCACAACCAGGAATGGCTATGCAGGCATCGTGATGCTGAGCGCATGTTACGGTCTCGATACTATCAGCTATTATTTCACGGGTTTGGAGAGAGAAGCGCATCCCTAGTCGCCATTAGTTGAAACTTGGCTGGATGTGGACGATTCGTGTCACCTTCACCGCCCATGGTAATGCCATCCGAGACACCAACGGTGTTGTACTGCCATGCCAGCATGTTGTCATTCTGAACATGCTTCTTGATCTCCTTTCCCAGATCCAGCACTGTGGAGTGTCAGCGAGTCATCGTACATGGGTGGACGGTCCGTCAGCATGGCCTCGTCGTGAGTCAAGTCTTACAGTGCATGCTGTAACATTGTTAGTTCTATGGACAGCATTTGGTGCACGAGAAGCAGACTGACTTGCAAGGGTTGCCTTCCCACCAGACAGACGCTATCCCAACATGAGGCTGCTTCTTCATGGCTTCTCGTGACGGTACACCGGCGGCATAGAGCATGGCCTATCATTCGGTCCTTATCAGCAACTGATTGTGGCCAGAATGCAGAAATAGCGAACCTGAGCTCCGGGGAAGTTGTGGCCAGCCGTGAGCGTGGACGAGTACTTGTTCAATGCGGGCTTGCCATCCTCATGTTTCGCGTCATCTGGGAGATGCGGAAAACTAAGAAATCGCGGTTCCTCTGGCTCTCGCTGCTTCTGCAGGTTATTCGGGTCCATTATCGGGTAGCAAAAGGTCAATTGTATTGTGGGCACAGCGATGAGGTGGGTAGGCGCAAAAGCAGCGGCGTGTCAAGTCGTCACGGAAAAAATGGCGAAAGGAAAAAGGTGGTACTCCGGGGACGAGATAGTAACGATAGCGGATTGTTACCGCGTGTACCCAGGTACTCCCGTAGCAGGGGTGCTTGCAGGAGCAGTCCAGTCTAGCAGTGCTAGCTAGGGTTGTCTGAAGTGCTCGCCCCCAAGGCTGGGTGGGCCATGGTCATGGCTGTATCGCCTTTGTCTGGGGCCCAAACATTTGGCGGAGGGAGGGGTCTAGTGGAACATGACAAGTGCCCATCCACAGCCGGAAGGCTACGCGCAGTCTGTCGTCCATGGATGCTGATCAGTGACCAATACGGTCAAAAAAAGCTGCCAGCCCGATCATGGCGATTGGGCGAGGCGGGATGCCTGTGGGGGCATGGTCGCGCTGGCGCTGGGGAGATTAGCGTGAAGTTTTGCTCCGCGCTCAAGTCCCGAGGCGCCACACATCGGAGCGAGGAGGGTAACCCGGCGCCTGGGCGCGACATGTGGCCTGGCGCCCAAGTGCGGCGCTTTCAACGGCGAAATCCAGCGCGTCTTCTGGAACGCCGCAGCGGTCAACGCTGCATCTGGCGTAGGTGTCTCGGGTGAGCATGGAAGCGATGGGCATGCAGGCGAGAAACTCTGGTAGACCTGGTGCCGTTGCGCGCAGCAACGTCGGATCAAAAGTGGGACAGATGCCAGGCCACGAGGCATGCAGTTTTGGTGTCGTTGGGAGCTACCCTACTTGACACCCACTTGGATGCGACGACGTGGACGCTGGACGCATGCTGCTTCTTTGCCCAGCAGCAAAAAGCCAAGCAGAATGGATGACCCGAGCGTCTGAGGGCGGGTACGCGGATGATGTCACGATGGCTGCTGCGATTGGACGGACGGATGGAGCAGTAAGCGGAGAGAAAGAGATGGGCCAAGAGGACAGCCTCGCCGTGGGGGAAGATGGATGAGGGAGGGAGGGAGAGAGAGAGAGAGAGAGAGAGAGAGAGCAAGACGAGGGAGGCTGGCGGCGCCCTGCCAAGTCGAAGTCGCACAATTGCAATGGCAGAGACGTGCCTCCCGCATTAGGCCGTGTGGCAGGAGCAGGAGCAGGAGCGTGCCCAACCACAAACGTCATCCCGCCAACTGCTTCGCCGGAGTCCTTGCGACAAACAAATTTTTGCGTGCAAGACGGAGCACGAGCAGGAGCAACACCACCAGCACCACCAGCACCACCACCGCCATCTTGTCGCAGCCCATCTCCGGTCGCTGTCCGTCTCAGACACTCGCACGCTGCCCAGCAGGCCTCGCCCAGCGCCCGTCGTTGCTTGCCCGTGTCCTGGTCGCCCCGTGATTGCTTTTCAGCATGACGGTCACCCACATCGCACACACTGTCCGGCTGCATACGACGCGGCATTCTTGGTATTAGCAGCATATTCGCTGTTCGTCCAACGTGGGCGCGTCTCCCCGTACCAAACTTTCCCAGGCACCGGCCCTTTGCCGCCAGCGATCGGTGCACGAGTCCTTCTATCTGATTCCATTGGCTGCCCCCAGATCGCCCATCACCATCCCGCACGCCAGCACCTTGACGGCCTGTTGGATATACATTCACCGACGCTCCACGCGAATGGCCATGGAGCCTCACTCACGACCCTGCGCGCCCCAAAATGGCACGTTGCGTCTGCCACAGGCTCTGCTGTCGCTCCTGAGCACTGCCCTCGCCGGCTCCCCCAGCCATCAAGTGACACAGACCGACACGCACCTTGCTCGCTGGAACGGCGCGGATATAAAGAAGGCCTTTTGCCATCTCCTTTACCTGCTCAACCCCTTCGCGCCCAACCACGCCAATTGGCCTTTGACTCTTGTGGGCATGGTCGAGTTGACAGCCCTGTGTGGAATTGCATCGGTGCTGTGCATGCGCAGGAAAAGGGATGGGAAACGAAGACCTGGCGAGACACAGCACGCCTCCAATGCCCCGACCGGTGAGTTGTTCACGCTGCAGTGGCAGCATCTTCGTTTTAATCACGTGGTCCCAGCTGATGCACTTAATCTCCGGGTTTATCGTGCTGACTCTGGATAGATGATGCCGCCATTACGGATCCGGGACTGATAAAGAAGTACTCGACAGTCAAGTCGTACACTGTGCCCTCTACTGGCTTTACCTACCCTGAGCTTCGTACTTTCTACCGGCCACACCACCAAGAAAGCAAACTGCCCAAGCACCCTTGCCCAATCCCGCTCCTGGTCTTTATCCACGGCCTTGGCGGATCCATTGCTCAGTTCAGCCCTATCCTTATCAGTCTTTCCAACCTAGCGCCATGCCTAGCTCTGGACCTTCCTGGATGCGGCGCATCGGCTTTTGAGCCAAAGGCATGGGAAGCTTATACAACAGACGCCCTGATACAACTTCTTGCAGTCGTCATTGAAGCCCATCGTGCAACTGATGAGAGACAGCCTATTGTTTTGGTTGGCCATAGCATGGGGTGTTCGCTGGCCGCCCTCCTGGCCTCCCCCACCTCTCCTCACGCCCATCTCCTATCTCAATACGTCAGTGGCTTGATTGCTATCTGTCCAAAGGCCGAGCCTCCCACTGAGAAGCAAACAACGCAATTACAGTATATCTCATTGGTGCCCCCAGTTTTTTTCGACCAATTGAGACGCTGGGATCGAAGAGGGGGTATCAACAGCAAGAGTGTTTTACGCATGACAGGGGCTGACGCAGACGTGGAGACGAGGAGGATGCAGCTGTGTTTTAATGAGCACAGCCGGAGCCCTGTATGGCAGAGAATGGCGCGGGGCATGTGTCCCGATTACTCCAGTGGCTCGCCCAAGGGTGGTCTTCCAGGGAAAGAAGTTTGGGGTGGTCTCAACATTCCAATGTTTCTCGCTGGCGGCGAAACAGACGGGGTGACACCAGCCTCGAACATCAAGCGCATCGTGGAGTTTTTGGGAAGAGATGTAAGTGCTATTCAGCCGCCTAGTGAGAAGGCAAGCTTGCCCATCGCAGCCGCACCGTTTGTTCCTGCCTCGGCCATATCAAACGTGTCCGCAAAGCCGCATCAAGATTCAGGTGTTGATGTGGCGGATCTTCCGCGGTCCGAAGATGACAGCAAGACGATTGAATCCACTTCTGCATCCACTGCCAATGAGAGTCTGGCGTCTACAGAAGATAGGACGATGAATGGGAGCATGGCTAGCGCAGATGATTCACTTCTCCCAGGTACTTTGGCGTCGTCATTGACCACACCGTCACCTCATCCACGCAGACTTGTTGTCAAAACAGCCATTATGCCCAAGCCAGCAGCCCACTCCCTCCTCTTCGCCCCGTCCACCTCGCGCATCATAGCTGGCCTAATAGGGACTTTCTTCGCCGACTATATCGACCCTCGTCTGTCACTGGCTTGGCAACTCAGCTACTTGTCAACCGAAGGTAAATGGGATGTCAAGAATCTTGAGAAGTGGAAGGCGGTACAGCCTGTATCTGCACCCATTGGCGGCGTCTTCCGCGCGATGAAGACTCTTCGCGAAGTCGACGAAGAGCACACGCCGAAAGTTCTTACCAAGAAGTGGGCTGGCAAGCTTTGCGCCGTCATTGATATTTCGCACGACAACCCAGTCTATGACCCAAAAGGCTTAGAAGAAGGTGGCATTCCGTACTACAAGTTTCCGACGGTATCCAAGCAGCCCCCACATAGCGCTGAAGTCAAGGAGTTCTTTGATCTCGTCGACAGAATTCGTGCGGAGCAAAGGCCTGGTCTGATTGGCGTACATTGCCACTACGGCTTCAACCGCACCGGCTTCTTTTTGGCCTCGTATCTCATCGAGCGTCTGGGATACACGGTTGAAGATGCGCTTGATGCATTCCAGCGAGCCCGTCCACCAGGCATCCGGCACTCGCATTTCGTTGACACCTTGTATGTCCGCTACTGCCAGGGTCTCAAACGAGCCCCGACACTGTGAGAAACTAGGGTAGCGATGTGGTGCAGTTTCCTTTTTTTTTCTCCATAAAGGCTATTCTTATCTATTTTCAACGTTTCGGTAACGTTTGTTGTGTAGTAATTGTTTTTTTCTCTCTTTCTTATCCGGTCTTATCATTGGGTTGGGAGTAACCAAGCGCAACGCGTTTTGGGTGTTTTGTTTTTCTTTCATCTCTACTTAGTTACATCCTGGGTTTCGGTTCAACATTGACCTAGATATTCAAAGCGTAGCGTATACCAATTTTGTTGTATAGAAATTGGTGGGGTATTTTTACGCTGCCCCTTTTCCTCTATAGTTTAACCATGTGCATATCGCGTGATTCATCTCTCGTTCTCCTCCTTCTTCTTCTTCTGCGTCCCCTCCATATACAGCTAACCACCCTTTCACTTTCATATTTATCTACAATTCATCAAATAGGCACATCCCAAGCCCACATTGCCTGTGTATATTACGCAGACAGGAAGTAGTACTTGCATTGCTTCTTATTCTACTTGCAACCCAACTAAAACCATGGATATATCCCCTTTTCTCTTTCCATCTCTCTCTCTCTCTCTCTCTCACTTAGCGTGCGCTGCTGTTCTCGCTGTATCCGCTTTGCTGGACGAGAATAGGGATAAGAAGAAGAAGAAGAAGAAGAAGAAGAAGAAGAGTGCAACAGCACCCCAATCTCTAGTAGCCCTTTTTTTTATTATAAGTCTGAGTCCTGAACCTTGTACGTAAGAGTACAACAAGGTTGATAAAAGGGGGAGGGGGGCTTATTATCAGGACCGGCTTGCTAGGAGGATTTGAAAAAAAAACAGGGGGAGCGATACATCGGTCGTGTGTTCTTTATTTTTATTTTTATTTTTATTTTTATTTTTATTTTTATTTTTATTCTTATTTTTATTTTTATTTTTATTTTTATTGTCATTGTTTCCCCAAGTAATTGAATACAAAGTTTTTCCATGTTCATTACTCGGGGGAGTTTTTTCCACTGCTCATCGAGTCGAGTCTGGGTCTCGTGAGAGAGATACAGGCAATACATAGGAGGGCGGGGTTATATATATATATATATATATAGAAAAAAAAAGATGATAAGATGGGAAAGATGAATGTGAAGATGAATGTGAAGAAGAAGAAGAAGAAGAGAAAGAAAAAAAAAGCGAGAAATGCGAAGATGAAGAGAGAGAAAAATAGACCAAAAACAAAAGTACAACTACAATGGGAGAGGGTATGTGTGTTATGTGTATGAATTGATGTGGTGGTGGTGGAGGAGGAGAAAAAAAATAAGAAAATAGAGAAAAAAAAACTTTTTCATCCTCCACATCAAATCATATTTTTTTTTCATATACCTCTCCTCGCGGATCATAAGATTGGATCCCGACTCGTTAACCTTTCCTCCCTTCCCCCCGCTCTCAACCCGTTTTTCCCGTGTGTGTGTGTGTGTGAATTTTTCTTCCCTTTCCCCCCCCCTCTCCCGATAAAAGATATAACAATGGCCATCGCAAGTCCATTGCACTAGTCTGGCTCTCGTAACCTCCACAGCGCCTAGCAATGCATTCGTCAATGTGTCGAAATAAGACAGGGTTCGAAGCGAATGTCGTGAAAACAAAGCGAAAAAAAAATTACTCAATTCAAAGTTGGCGTACTTGACCTCATAATTAACAAGGGGGGGACAAATAGCGCGACGCAGTTTACAACTTCTGATGTTGAGAGAGCGGTTCAGGGGTGGACTCTAACCCCTCCATGGTACCGCTATCTTTGTGTCGTGGAAAAAGACCACTATCGGCGGCGGTAGGGGTGCCAAGCCGTTCTGTGGGGTACTTCTCGAGGTCCTTGTGACTAGTCGAGAAGGTGGATATAACGGGGGTATAGTTCTGAGGATGATCAGCCTGTGTCGGCGTTTTGGCTTCTGGTCCAGCAGAGATGGGGCTCAGCAAACTTTCTGGGCCGTTGTTGGCTTCTGGGGGCGCGAGTTCGGGCTGCGATTGAATGGCGCCTACCAGGCCATTCCAGCCTCCTTCAATGTCACGTAGCAGGCGCACATATTCTTCGGGTACTAGGCCGCTCTCGCCCGTCTTTGGGTCTTGAGCCACGAGCCAGCCTTGGCCATGGCGGTACGAGACCAAAATCACCTGGCCTTCTACTAGGGGCAGCTCGTTGTCGTTTTCGCGGGCAAAGTCGAACAATGCGACTGCTTTTCCATGCATCTCTTCGTCGGGCGAGGCAATGGTAAACTGGTAATCGCGCGAGAAGCGGCTGTCGTCGTATATGTAGTCTTCAGGCTCCGACATGTCGTCGTCTGAATCGTATGGCGGGCCTTGGAGGACTGTTTCGGCATCTGCATAAGCGCGTGGTGGCAGAGTTGTGGCGAAGTGGGAATCGCGCCGCGACGCTCCTTCTGGTAGGCCGAGTCGCGATGACTCGGGCGGGTAGGTAATGTACTCACTGCTAGGGGTGTGAGCAGCGTCGTCATTTGCGAAGTAGCTGCTCTCGCCGTTGATCGGCACCAAGTTTGTCCGTCGATGTTGTTCTTCTGGGTATCCGCGGCGGCCGCGGGTGTGGTCAAAGTTGACAATGTTGGATTTGTGCTTCTTGTGGCGTGCGCCGTGGTGGCTGGTGACGACTGGGCTTGAAATGTCCTCGTCCTCGCTGTAGGGCGGGCCTCCGTCGTATGACGTCTGGGGAAGTTGCTCGCCTTCCTTCTCGTCCCATGACGCCGCCGACCAGCCGCTCCGGTCGTTGCGCCATGCTACCGGGGGCGGGTCTGACAGTCTGCGGCTGTGCTCACTTGCGGGGGTGGATATGTCGGAGGGCTGCTCCGGGAGTGGGCCGTAGAAGAGGGGATGCAGCGGGTCATAGGCAAAGTCGCGGACCAGCGAATAGGGCAGGCTCGAGTGGAAGATGGGGAAGGCGGTCGATTGCGGGCGCGAGCGCACCGATTGGTGCGTGTTTGATGTGTTTGAAAAGGTGGACAGGCGCTTGTTCATGTAGGAGCTGGCGCGCTCGAGCTTGGCCTTGGAAGGCGGGGAAGTGACGAGCGGGGGGAGGGAGGTGCGGTTGACGCCTGCCTGGGCCGAGTCGCTTCGCGGTGATAGGACATCGGCGGCCATGTCTGGGGTGGGGTGGGCGTGGGCGTGGCCGCACACAGCAGCTCGTGGGTCGAGGTCGTGGTGCAGGCGGAGCGGGTTGGCGGGCTCGTCTGGGGCGGTGGTGGTCATGCGCGGTAGATGTATGTGTGTGTGTGTGTGCGGGCAGTGTTGCAGGCAGGGCCGGGTTTCAAGGCAGGGCGCGACGCAGATAAACTTTTTTGGATGCTGGCGAGGGCGCACTCGAGGGCAATGGCGAGACGGGCGCCGAGTGGGCCGGCCAGCGAGGCGCACACAGGCAGCGCTCGAATCACAGCGAGGCGACTCGACAGGCGTGTCGATGTTTCACGGCGGGCGGCGGCCAATGCGCGGTTGAAGGCTTCTGGAATGCGCGAGTCGGGGGCTCGTTGGGCGTGGGCGATTGGGGAGGGGCGCGGGCGTGGGCGTGAAGATATTTGGAGAAGGGAGCGGCTGGAGAAGGCGGCTGAGGGGGTGGTTGTGGGGGTCGGGTCTGGCGCTAACACTCACCCAGTGAAGGATGGAACAGCTGCGCGCCTAACGGAGGGAGGGACGTCAGGGCCGGCGGAATGGGGATGCGTGGCATGCAGTGTGGCGGTGGTTGTCGCAGTGTGGTGGTGGTGGTGGTGGTGGTAGTAGTGGCAGTGGTAATGGTAGTGGTGGTGGTGGTGGTGGTGGTGGCAGTAGTGGTGGTAGTGGTGGTGCAAGGCCCGGCGACGACACTTCTTGGGTGCGTAGGCTCTATTTTTGGGGCGGGCTGGCGGGGGACATGCTAGACGCCGGTGCTGTGTTTCAGGCGCTGTCCAGGGCGCAGCGGGCGGGCGAGCGGGCGGGCGCGGCGACGCTGTGGTGCGAGGGCGAGGGCGACAGATGCTACATGGCCGGGCGGCGACAGATAACACACGGCAGGGCGGCGACACGGCGCAATGGTTCATGCCATCAGGCGCAGGCGTGCCTGTGTGCGGGCGAGAGGCGCTGCGCGTCTTCAGCCTTGGGTGTAGGCCGCTTTCTGTCTAGACGGTTTCACCTGGGGCCCAGCTAGCTGCATGCAGCGCGCCCCGGCGAGGAACTTCCCTGGGCCGTCCTCACCGTATGCCGTCACGCTCGCAAAACGCATAACGCCCGTCGACGCGAATTGCTTCCGTCGCCAGTGCCAGTGTGCTGCCCATGCCCATGCCCATGCCCATGCCCCGGCCACGCACATGTACTTGCTTGGTGGCGGCGGTGGTGGTGGTGGTAGTAGTAGCAGCAGCAGCAGCAGCTACACTGACAGGCACGCCCAGCCGCCCCGCGACCTGTTCGGCCACGGCAATGCTTGCGCAATCCCTCGACATGCACAGGTGCAGTCGTGCTATCGTCGACGGAGCATGGCGCCGCCATCTCATCTCATCTCATCTCATCTCACCGTCCCCGCTGCCAGCCCAATCGGCCCAATGCCAGCCCACTCCAGTCCACTCCAGTCCACTCCAGTCCACTCCAGCAGAAGCTCCCGCAACCACTGCCGGCCCACGTCATCACGGCCACCCACCCGGCGAGCGGCCCAGCACGCAACCCAGCAAGCGGCCCAGCAGGCGGCCCAGCAGGCGACCCCTCGATGCCGCCGTTGTTCGTAGTGCAGTGTAGTGTGCGTGTAGAGGCCGTTGCCCGTTGCCCGTTGGCTGCCCGCTGCTATTGGTAGTCGCACCACCACGCCCCGCCTGGCCCTCGCCCCGCCCCGCCCCGCCCCGCTTAGTCATCCCCATCGCGCCCTGTGCCCTGTCCTGCCCCGAGCTCGACAAAGCTTGCACTCACCACACGCAACCGCCTTCCACCACCACCCTCTCTCCAACCACCCTCTGCGCAACCCCCCTCTCCTTGTTTCCGGGACTATGATCGCGCCCAACACTCCTCCTTGCTAGCGTACGTCTGTCTTGCCTCCCCTCCCCCCCGAGCCCCCCCCCTGGCTGTGAGATGTGTGTGTGTGTGTGTGCGGGTGTGGGTGTCGAGGTAGGGCTCTGCAGAATCTTCATCGAGCGTTAGCTATGGTGCTGCGCGTTTTGATGTGGTAGAGAAACAGCAGCAGTCGTCACGCAAGTATCAGAATTTTCAGTGTATATTATTATTGAGAGTCGTCAAGGGCTCATGCCTCGGACAGCTCCAATATGTGTTCATCACACCATGTCGGCCGACCCACGACTGCGCGCGAGGCAGCAACAGCAGCAGGCCGCCCCTACACCAGTGCCTCCTCCGCCTCCCCCTCCGCCTGCCGAGCCTCAGCCTGCGGGCGTCGACGGCGCCAACGATGCGCATGCAGAGCAGAACATGGTGCCTGAAGATAGCTTCAAGCTCAAGTTCTGCACTGTGTGCGCTAGCAACCAAAATCGGTAGGTTACGCGCCCCACCGCCTCTGAATCCCTCGCTGACCCGGCCAGTTCTATGGAGGCACACCTCCAGCTCGCGTCCGCGCACCTCCCAACCATCAGCTTTGGCACTGGCTCGCTTGTGCGTCTGCCCGGGCCAACCATCACCCAGCCTAATGTCTATCACTTCAACAGCACCACGTACCGTGCCATCCATGACGAGCTCGCGCAGCAGAATGCCGCCTTGTATACCAACAATGGCCTGCTCAACATGTTGGGTCGCAATCTAAACATCAAGGGCTATCCCGAGCGCTTCCAGGACTGGGTACCTGGAAAGCCACGCCTTGACCACGCCGAAGACAAGGGCGCCCAAGGCACCGAGTCTGGCGTAGTCGACGTCGTCATAACATGTGAAGAACGCTGCTTTGATGCTGTGCTTGAGGATCTACACAACAAGGGCGGAAAGCTCAACAGGCCGGTGCATGTCTTCAATGTGGACATTAGAGACAACCACGAGGAAGCGCTCGTTGGCGGAAAAGCCATCCTCGACCTTGCGCTCAGTCTGAATGAAGCCGCAGCGAAAGAGCGGGAGATTCATGGTGACAGCGGCTGGCAGTCTGGCGGCGGTCCTGCTCGCGCCGGCTTTGATGAGCGTGTACCTGAGATTCTTGCTACCTGGCAAGAGCGCTGGCCAAACATGCCTGCCCTCTGGAGTCTTGCATGGTTCTGATTCGACCTTGTGGCGTTACATTTTGTTCTTGGCAACACAGCCTGATACCCCATTTGCATAGCGAGGCGTTCTGCATACTACATTACCAAATCAGCCCATTCTCAAATGGCTACGAAATACCACAAATACATGACTTTGATCCAACACGTCCGCCATTGGCTGTTTTGCCACATTCCCCTGACCTTGGTGACCAAGTCGTTTTTATCCAGTGACATTTGAGAAGTGGATTTGCTGACACCATTCAATGCAGACCTCTTCACACCGCCGTGGCTTGGTGACACGCCGTCCGACTAGCCACGTGTGCGTGTAACCGCCCGTCCCCTATTAACAACATGTTGTGCTCGCCTGTCAAAGAAGCAAAAAAAACAACAATTCCCAAACCCAACCCCAAACCCAACCCATACAGCTCTGCGACTTGCCATTGAAACCCTCGACGCCGTTTCTGCTCGCCTTTGAACAGCAACAAAAAACCATCAACACACCATCAACACTCCATCATGGGCCGCCGTCCCGTGTCCTGGACCCTCATGCTCCTGATGATACCCCTTTCCGCCCTCCTCTTTGGCCCCGTCAACAGCACCCGGACAACAAAGCACAAAGCCTGTGGTTGGGAACTCATGCAAAACTTCCGTGCGTCTCTTTTTTTTTCTTTTCTTTTTTCCCACCTTCCACATCTAACACTCTCACAGACATTCCCATTGCGCACCTGGGCGCCTGGTACGCCGCACAGACGGGCGACGGCTCGCTGTGCACCCGCCAGCCCGACGGCTCGCTCTATTGCACCTGCATCTACGAGTGTGGCAATGGCATCTGGAGCTATGTCCATGCTCCTACTACTACTATGCTTACTACTACTACTACTACTACTACTTCTTCTTCTTCTTCTTCATCATCTCAACAAGCAGTCACTCGAAATAATAGACGCTGGATCTGGGAAAAGGGATGCAACAAGTACTGTCATGCTGCTATTTGTGATGGCCAGGATCCACGCAATACCCTGTTTCTCGGGGAATCATCATCATCATCATCATCTTCATGATTGTCATCGTCATTGTCATTGTCACGTGTCGCAATCAATGCACGAGCACGCGAGCTAGTACCAGAACACAGCATTTAAATACGGCATTGAAATAGCTTGGAATGGCATGACAACATGGTCGTTTTATCACATCTCCCACTGTAGCGTGCGAATATAGTAGCTTGGTCCAACTAAGTACTAGAATTGCCTAGACCTTGACATATAGCCTGCAATACATTACATTACATTACATCACTTAGCTTCTTCACAAATGCATTAACCACCACATTGCTACTCTACCATGCCCTAAAAAAAACAAACAAACTAATCCCTAGTCCCCTGCCAAGCAACCCCCCACCCACATCACACACCCAACCCCAACCGTCGCACGTGACAACCATGTGTTTATGCGCTATAAAAAAAGTAAACAAAAGTAAACAAAAACAAAAAACCCACACTACAATTAATAGGTCTTGCGTAGGGAACCAGGACAATAACTGCAGAACGGCAAAAAGTACTCCCCACACGCAAAAAAAAAAAATTTTTCGCCCGACGTTGGCCAGATTCGAACTGACGCTCCCGAAGGAACAAGATTTCTAGTCTTGCGCGATAACCACTCCGCCACAACGCCTGATGGCAACATTCGAGTGAATGCTGTTCGATGACATCAGATTTGTTTTCATGTTTTATATTGCGCGCGGCTACTAGTCATGCCTCGTTCGCATCGCAGCCGAAACACCCATTGCCTCGGTATCCATGCAACTGCAATGCATCCATTTGCAGCGCCGATTGTGGAGTAATGCGATCCACAACAAATACTTCAATCATTCAGATTGTGCTAGCAGAATGCCACCATCCACTCAACAGCTGTATGCCAGCCTAGCGCGTATACATGTGGCCTTAGCGTTAGGCCTCCCATCTCACCTTGCCTTGACGCATTGGAGCCTTGTCCACAAACTCTGTGTTGCTTGCGTATCCCACTGCACAGCCACATGCGCAGCGGAGGGCGGGCGCCTAGGTGGGGGGGAAGTCTAAAATTCCTGGAATGGCGTCTGACGTTTTGTCCCTGGAGGACTGCTTTTCTTCTAACCTGTTGCATCGCCCTCCTCTGTGACTGCTGTTTGGGGCCCGTGTCCAGCCCGCTCGACTCATAGCGGCTGCCAGCATGGTGTACCGCGGCCGGCCTTCGACCGGGTGCAAGAAATGTCGCGAGCGCAAGATCAAAGTAAATCAACAACCTCTGCCTTTTCTTTTCAGTCGCAGGGACGAAGAGTGCTGACGGAATTGCACAGTGCGATGAGCGTCCTGGTGGTTGCGTCAAATGCGCCGAGCGGCACCTCGAGTGCCCTGGCTACGACCGCAATATCGACGCCTTCTTCCAAGACGAGACGGCGCATGTCCTGGCCAAGGCGAAAAAGTCAAAGGCAAAAGCCATTGCAGCTCGCGATGCACGCGATGCACTCAAACACGGTAATCGACAGCAAGCCTACATGGAGATTGTGGCCCAGGCGTGTCCGGGGATATTCATCACCGACTCGCTCATCGATCAGGGCGTTTCATTCTTCATGTCCCGCTATGCCACCGGGGTAGACCAGCCATCTATACAGTCGAAAGAATATCAAGACCATCTATCGACGAATGGCTTCCACCCACTCGTGGCCACGACCATGACAGCTCTCGGTATCGCTGGGGTTGCCAACATCCGCATGGATTCCCGCCTCAAGCGTGAGGCCACCCGTTGGTATTTGGATGCCATCAAGATGGCCAACGAGGCCATATCGTCTCCCAAAGATGTCAAGGCCGACAGCACTCTCATTGCTGTTAATCTCCTGGGCCTGTACGAGGCCACTTCCAATGACGCGACCTTGATGGGATGGAGCAATCACGTCGCAGGTGCCTCTTCATTGATCAGAATACGAGGCATGGACCAGTTTTCGACTCCAGCAGGGCAGCGCACCTATCTGCACACGGTTGGCCTCCTCACCATGAACTGCATGGGATTCGGGCTCCCCATACCCAAATTCGTGCACGATCTCAACACGGAGATTATCAAGCATTTGGATACCCACGATCCAAGAAACCGCTTCTTTTTCCTCCACATCAAGACTATTGATCTTCGCGCACGCATCCTCAACCAGGAAATGACTTTGTTGCAGGACATGATCGAGGCAGCGCTCGAGCTCGATGACATCGCAATCAACATCTTCAAGGACCAAACACGCGATTGGGACTACGACGTTGTGCTCTGTGAAAAACGACCGGGCATCTTCGAGCACTTTTACCACGTCTATCACACGGCCATAGCAGCCCAGACATGGAATTGGGTGCGGTACAATCGGATCTATTTCCACGACATTATTCGAAATAGCATCTTGATGGGCTTCGCGGCCACGCCGCCACTGCTGGTCGGTGCAAGGTACCATGAGCAGCTCGAAGCGAGCGTCCGAACGCTGTACCAATTGCAGTCGGACATCCTGGCTAGTATGCCGCAATTCCTACACGATGTCTCGGGCCGTGAATCAAACAGGGTATCAGAGGACACGGGCGACAGCCAGATAGCGACTCCTCCGCCAGATTCCCCCCCTGCATCGTCGACATCAACATCGCCACGCTCACCACCAGAACCCAAGTTCGTGCCAAAGTCGCTGGACCAGAACTTCAGGGGCACATCATTCGGCGGGGGTCACTCCCTTAAAGGCAGCGGTTCCGTAAAAGATCGCGTTCCCATCTTACGTGTAGGAGGCGGCTATTCAACTGTGTGGGCCCTCTATGTGGTATGTATATTTCTCTCTCTCTCTCTCTCTCTCCCCTGATAGCATCGTTTCTTGCGAAACTAACAACCTTTGTAGGCTGGCGCTATGCCTATGGCTTCTCACGAGAGCCAGGACTTTGTGCTACGATGCCTAAAACGTATCCAACAAGAATTCGGTATTGCCCAGGCCAAAGTCCTAGGCAGATCCCTACAGCGCATGCAGATTCTAGCCAGCAGCGGTGAACTTCCTTTTCGAATCTGTCCGCAGTATCTGCCGGATGGGCCGGAAGAGCCAGTCGAGAATTCTTGCGGTTGATTTCACACAGAGAGGTGCTTCCTGTTCTCCGTCTTGAAGCAAATAACCAGGCCTTGTTCTTTCTACAATTTGTAGGGGCGCAGTCAGATCCTGGGCAAATAAAGCTGACGGGTACATTACTATGGGGGTTGGATGACGAACAGCCCATGACGCCGCCCGTACGGTGAGTAACCCCAGATAAATACTATAGTGCGTGTCAGGGCTTGGGGGGGGCGGGGGGGGGGCGACGCGTTTCAAAACTTCTGAATACGAAGCCGCCCGAAAGCATCCCTGGCTTGCTGATCCCGCACCGGGTATTTCTGCTTCATACATCTGACGTCAGATAATGGGCCCATTTATGAGGCTCTTTTGGAACCAAGCAGAGCCTCTTCATTTTTTCTTGCCTTTTTCCTTTCCTAGATTGCAGGTTAGATGTTTGTTGTTGTTGTTGTTGTTGTTGTTGTTGTTGTTGTTGTTGTTGTTGTTGTTGTTGTTAGACATGGGCCAAGAATGCCGGTTTTGAGATGGACACAAGCAAAGAAGAGAAAAAAAAGGCTATGATTGAGGTCTTTTGATGCACACATGAGGGGATGGAAAGTCGACGCAATTTCCACAATACCAAATAGTAGAGGATGTTATGATCCGCTGGAGATCCAGTTCAGCTGGTGGGCTGGGACGCATGGTCTTCGAACTTGGCGTTCATACGGATTCATAGTCCCTGATGGCTACTGAACCAGCACGTAAAGTCGACGCGCAGTGTCATTTCAGTGTAACAGTCGCGTCTAACGGGAATCTTTATATCAACTATACGCAAGCGGTGGGGGCAATAGGGGTTGTGCCGGTGTTCCTTTATCTGGTAGTCTAGAGAGCTCCATGTGCAAAATGAGTACATGTGGATATGAATCTGACAAAAGGCTCCATTTTTTATTTCTCGAGACGGGCGGATAGGGGTAATACTACCACTACCAAGTGTACACCTACGTATCTACATGTCCAACAGGCAATGCTGTGACCGAGAACCAGAGCGTGCTAGAAGAAATGCAGAAGGACATGGAAACTCGCTATTTCCAGACTGTGGGTCATATCTCAGATTTCTGTGGGGGAAGATTACATGACACAAGGTCACTAAGGACCCGTGTGGGCAGGTTTGCCGCGAAGGAATACCAAGACGACGGGTGATGATGGCTCCCGTGGTTCGCCCAAATGTACGCCGTGCACGTACTGATTGGTGAATTGGACACTAAGTAAGTGCCGGGGGACTAGAATCGTTAATTCTTACCCGATGCACGCACACACACACAAATGTAAGTAGAGAAGCAAAAGTGAGATACTCCGTCTCCTAAATCCACATTCCATGCACTACACTGGCCTCTCGAGAAATCTTCCGTCGACCAACTCTACCTTCATCTATCACCAATGCCCATGTCACAGGGCGGTTGCTTGGGCGTTCGGCAGCAGCAGCCGCCCGTCAGATTTCGGATGGAGGTTAGCCGCAAAGCCGCCAATGAGGTTCCGCTGGGCTCTTGGCATTTCCGCAGCAGAATTGAACGGTGCCGATCGGGGGCCACGAGATAGATTGCTGGTCTCCACTCTTTTCTCGTGGCTGCTTCCGCTGGCCTGGATGCTAAAGTAGTCACACGGCACAGAATCAGGGTGGAGCAACAGGGGAGGGCGGCTTCGAAATCAAAACTAGTGCATCCCCATCTTATGTGGAGTAAGTGACATACGTAGCTTGGGGGCAGAGAAACAGCCATTTTGCAAAATGTTTGTTGTCACTGCTGGGATATTCCTAGATGTAGTAGCGTGTCTGCGTTGGCTGTGGTTTGGATGCAGTTGTCTGGAGGGTTCACGTGAGGTCGTGGGGAGCAGATATTGGGGACTCGGGTGGCCTAGCTACGTAGCACCACGAACGTCTCGAAACGGCCTACCCTTGCTTCTGAAGGTCCTCCTCTCGCAGCACTTAGGCATTCGGGCACCATGGGCATGCCCGCATACGTTCTGTCATCATCTCAGAGACAGCCTTTTCCCGCCCACACAATCTTACTTACGTCCGTACATAGCCAGATGGGGATGTATTGGTAATTCAGCTTCTTCAACATCACTCCCTATCTGGATCCTCCCTGAACCGCAGGCCCACTCGCTGTCCGGAGCCATCCGCAGAGCATGATACGCCGCACTGTGCAAACATTCGGCAGCAAGGACCCGGGTTTCTGAAACACCATGCGGCTCTGCCAGAAACATTGTTTGTCATGCTGTTTTCAACCTACATGCTACAGTTTCATGGCATTTTCGTAGTGCAGAAGCACCCTAGCCTTGAGCTGGAAAAAACAATATAAACCTGAAGCTCGCCCAGCGTATTGACATAACAACGGCGTGTAGGCGTAGATTTGGCGGCTGCCAGCAGCTTGGCGGCCACTTGGATATCTGGGCGGCGGCCGACTTGAGTAGCAGAGGAGAAGGGCTAGAAGCATTCTTCTTGGGCCACAATATGCATGCTACGAGACCTGACATGCCAAGCCGTTCGCTGCTTTGTTTTAAGCTTAAATGAATGGGGACGAACAGCGGAGAAAGGCCAGCAATGGGACAATGAGACGGCCTCGAAGGAGCCAACTCATCTTCCAGCGGCCTTGGACCCCTCAGGCATGAATCGCACGCCAGCTTGGGGATGCGTACGAGGGCGTTTCCGGAAAATTGGGTGAGTGGCCAGGCGATGCCAGGTGGGCAGCGGAAATGAGGATGCGGCTTGGCAGACGACGGCACTGGGGGTGGTGTGGATACTTCTCCTGGTTTCACGACGAAGCTTGGCGTTCCTTGGAGTGCGGCTTAGCCTCGGCGCGACAGGCTGTTTCCAGGCCTAATACATGTGCCCTACAATTGTATGCCGACCTCGAGCGGAATAACTCTGCTCGTTGTGGCATGGCGTCCAATCACAGCGTCCATATGCTTAGATGAAGTCTAGCTTCTGGCATCCCAGTCCTGCCCACTGAGCCTTGCTCGCCCTCTCTGCCGTCTTGCCCTTGCCCAACATGGCACCTCTTCGGACGGACGCCATGGGAAATAGGGCGGTAGGACGAGCTCGGGGTGGGTATAAGGATCCCAGATACCCCAGGAGCAAGACGCCATCCAGCATCCAATCATCCAGTCTTTCTTTTGCTTGACGCAATCCACTGTCTCTTGTCTTTTGTATCTGCTTTGCCTTCTCTATACATATTCCTTTTGAACGATTTCCCCCCGTCGACTAAAGTTTCCATCACAATGAAGTTCTCCATCGCTGCCGTTGCCGCCGTCGCTGGCCTTGCTGCCGCCTCCCCTTCTGCTCCCGCTACCAACGATGTCTTTGCTCTTGGCAAGCGTGCTTCCCTCCCTGTCCCTGCCTCCAAGGGTTCCGTCACTCTCAAGGCCCCTCAGGAGGTCAGCGGTACTTTTGATGGAGGCATGAAGACCTACGGCCGTGGTGTCAGCTGCACTGGTCAGGTCGAGGGTGGTAACAAGGACACTGTCTTCATGGTCAAGAACGGTGGTACTCTCAAGAACGTCATCATTGGCAAGGACCAGATCGAGGGTATCCACTGCGAAGGATCTTGCACCATCGAGGTAAGACGATCCATCTCTTGGCCTCTAACACCCAGCTGACTCAATCTCAGAACGTCTGGTGGGTCGACGTTTGCGAGGATGCTCTTACCCTCAAGGGTGACGGTAACGCCATGATAAAGGGTGGAGGTGCCCAGGCCGCCGACGACAAGGTCATCCAGCACAACGGAAAGGGAACAGTCACCATTGACGGCTTCAGTAAGCATCCCCTCCCCCCCTAGCCTCCAAGACCAGAAATACTAACAGCTCCTAGCCGTCGTCAACTTCGGCAAGCTCTACCGTGCCTGCGGTAACTGCAAGAACAGCGTTGCCCGCTCCCTCGTCGTCAAGAACGTCAAGGCCTACAACGGAAAGGTCCTCACTGGCATCAACCCCAACTTCGGTGACAGCGCCTCCATCTCCAACACGTGCGCTACGTCCGTCAAGACCATCTGCGAGGAGTTCAAGGGCACCACCCCCGGAAACGAGCCCCAGTCCGTCTCCAAGGGCCCCTCCAACAACTGCAAGTACACCGCTTCCGCCATCAAGGCTTGCTAGACGCATACTTTTTTCGGGTCTGGAGCAGTGCAGATATAAAGTCTGCAGCGCATTTGAAATAAAGCGCTGGATTGGAACACTAATTGTGCGTTTCTTGTATATATCTTCCTTCGACTGTGGTCGCGTGCAGTGCATGTAGTAAATACATCTCATACCAAATACCCCGTTTCTCTACATGTTCCAAGTTGACCCTTGTGGGATATACTGTTGCACAAATCACCATTGAATGCCTTTCTCAGTACGGCTTGTGAGTGAATAAAGTTTCGGGCTTGATCTGCCGGTCCGCTATACGGTCAGCACACTGTCAGCACTAACGTCACTTGGGATTTTGCTTCGATAGTGTAAAGACACCTCGCAACGACCCTGGAAGTACACAAGTTAGAATCTCTTTTGTTTTTCAGACTATAATAGAGTGGAGACTTGTATAGTCAAGTGCACAGGCAAGTTCTGTGCCTTGTAATTCAACAACCTAGTCCATTGGGTCACGAGCATGAACCAAAACACATATGCCGAAACCGCCTTTAGTGTTACACATGTTTAAAAGTATACGGCTATTTTTTCTCATGCGTACAGCGATGTCGGTGCATGCGTGATCCAGCCGTTTGCAGCTCTGGATCGACGGCACAGACACTTCACCGCCGCCACTTGCAAGTGAAACGCGGGCTTTCACTTCACCCTTCAAAACTAACATCATATACGGATCTCTAGATCTTAACGCCCTTGGTGTCATGTGAGCCATCGAGTTGGTTGTATTTACATTCGGTGGCGCTCACACGACAGCACTGTTATCTTCGACACTTTTTCCATAGCACTTGGCCTATCCAACGCCAGCACCTCAGAAAGAAAAGCTTGTAGTTGAGACAGAGTGAAGAGCGCTTCCCATAAAGTTGCAGGAATGGCTGATTACATAATTGACTTGGTAGGTGAAAAGCTGGTGTGTGGCGCAAACGCCCCAGCGGCGTTATGTGAATCTTTGGGCTCCGGGATCCCCATTTTTGTAACAGCTCACGTGGCAGGACGTATGCTGTACCCAGGTATTCACCTATCTTCACCCGAGAATCTTGATTTCGGGTAGTCGAGCTACAGAGGTTTTGAGCTCATTGCGTCGATGGGTGGGATACGATGCTCGAATGATACTGCCATGATGAAATGTTATTCAGCACGTATACCGTTGTACAGCCTTCAGCCAATTTGAAGAATCTTTCACTCAAATCGTAGGTGTTATCTTCCCGTAGAGATTTAGTCAGCACGGACAGTCAGCGCAGAGTCTTGATTCCTGAGTGAATGCTGCGCGCTAGTATCACGCGCAACGTACTTCACTCAGACTTTCTGATTGCTACGTCGCCGCCCCACTTGATTCGGCCGCCCCTAGCATACTTCCCATACACTCCCTGTAAGTATATATGCCCTTGGTCACCGTTCCGACCCTTACGCTGCACGCTGATATTCCGCTGCTGAACATCGGAGTCCTAGGCCAGACTAACTGCGAACAAGATCACTACCCACATACCTCGCCGATCGACAACACCTGAATCATGTCAGATAGAGGTTTCAGCACGGACTCTCCCAGATACGTAGCCAAAGACACGGACATGAGCGTGTCGAGTGTTACCCCATCCCCGCCTCCAGCTATCCCACCTCCTCCCGTCGGCGCCCTCCCCACGCCCGCTGACCCAAAGCTAGAAAAGGTGCCTGCTGGACTCCGAGCCCCGTACCACCCCCGGCCCCTCACCTCTACATGTCTGAAGAAGCACTTCACTCCAGTCGGAGGCTTATTCTTCCAGAATATGGCGGGTGCAAAGGCTTCCATGGACTTTGCTCAGTGGCGTTCACCGTCGTATGACAACACCATCCCGCAGACTGACAAGGAGCATCAAGACATTGTCCAAAAGCTCGTGCTGGCTTTCAAAGACATGTCTGCTGCCAAGGATACTCCAGACAACGCCTACCGCAAGCGCTTGACGCCAGGTGAAGCAATGTACTACCAGGACTGGGCCATCGAGGCATGTGCTTGGGACATTCTCGTGAGTGAAAAGTCTGCCATGTTGTTTTGAATATTATACTGATGGTGCGGCATAGAGTAAGGTCAAAACCATGCACACCGAAGGCTTCAAGGTAGCCATCTACGACAAGAGCATCGTTGACTCGATTGGGCAAACCCAGTACTGGACGTTCCAGGAGCGCATAGAGTGGATCTGCGTTGTGTTGCGGGTAAGTCTTATCCGTTTCCCATATATCAAATAAAAACATGCTAAATGCTTCCATTTAGACATCCAAGAACGTTGCTGTTACTCTCATGGTAAGCTTACATTACTCTGTGTGTCGTTCGCGAGAGACGCTAAGCCATGCACAGAAGAACGAGAAGACATGGACGATTCTCGGAGCCCCTCACAAGCTGTACCATAGTACTCTCACCAATGCCGTTGCAAACGCGCATCGTGGCGTGTGGGTCAAGTCGGGGCGTGAGGCGGATACTGAGCACCGCGCCCGTGCTAACAGCAAGCGCCAGAAGCTCAGTCATGCTGTCGGCCATGAGAACGATGGCGCAAAAGACGCTATGAACACTAGAGGTAAAGAGGGTAATCCGGATATTGGCACTGCGCCGGGTAAGTATGAGAGTCATGTACTTGGATTTTGACAATGGCTAAGACGTCTCGCAGCTTCTTCACTTGACAAGACTAACCACATCAACACATCATCCACTCCCATTCCCAACGCGGACAGCGTCATGGCTGGCAATCCTGTCTCCATGCAGAACACTCCCCAGCTGGAACCCATGCCCGGAATCACATACCACCCCGACACACCCAGAATCCCGACCGATCCGGAGAGGGAGCCTGCGCTATCTCGTCCTTCGCACGGAGAACCCAGCACCCACTCTCTCGCTCCACACACTCGACTCTCGGCTTCCGATACGCAGGATCAGCACAAGGTTAAGTACGATGCTGTTGACTTGGAGGGTGCAGAGATGCTGGCTTCGCTGCATACTGCTTGTTGAGCAGCGCGGTTAGCCCGGTCGGAGGACATGAGGGATTGTCGATTTACGGTACGTGTCTTTCTAATTACTCGTGTAAACATCGGAAGACATGAAGTAAGCTTCTCAGAAGCATAGTGAAACATGGCGTTTGCCATGCAGGAAATTATTGGGTGTGCTTTTGTATTTTCGACATGGTCCAGTGGGCGGGGGTCTTGGAAACCAATCCCAGCATTGAGTTTTATATTTGACAGTCGATAAAACCAGCATCGAGGAGAAGAACATGTTAGTCACACAAGGCGAATTTTTACACGGCTTGCAGTTTCCAGCGTGGTATATTATCTAACTCAGGAATCTATAAATTAGCAATTCAAACTTGTCGAGCGACTCCTCTCCTCGCCCTTCTCAGCCCAATCATACCGCCCTCGTCGCCCTGGACCTCCTGCGTCTTCAGACTGGCGCACATGAGCTCGAGCGCGTTGAACGAGTCAATGGGGCCCAGTCCGTCCATGGTGCCCTTGAGCGCTGCATTCGCTGCACGACTCACAATGGCCTTTGCATCGAGACTGACTTGTGGCAGAATCTCAGCTGTAGCACCCAACCACCTTGCCAGCAGTCCCTTGAAGGAAATCTGATCGGCATCGCAGCTCTTGTCCTTTTCGCACGTCGCCTCCCACAGGGCGCCCGTGTCGTGATTTACAAACGTGCGGTTCGCAGATTGGATGAAGCCCCGGGTTCGCTGCACCCACTTTGCGTCGCCCGTCTGCACTGCCATGACGGCCGACCCGTACATGTACACGCCCACATTGTAGCTCCACTGGTTGTGGTTCAAATCCGCACATCCGTTCTTCTCGTCGGTGCCATCAAACACATCGAACTGGTCGTTGACAAGGCCCACTTGCACACTCCAGTCGTACACTGTATTGGCCCAGGCGCTCATCTCCGCGGCGGCAGTCTCGTTCTGCACGGCAGATAGCTGGGCTACCCGCGCGGCAAGTTGGAAGAGCAGGCCGTTGGAAATGCTGTTTTTGTAGAAGAAGCCGTCGTTGCCGTCGCCTTTGGCAATCTTCCAACCCAACCCGCCTTTACATCCTCCAGATCCTTTCTTCTCGTTTCCCCAGCGTGCTTTCTGCTGCTCGTAGACATTGCGTGCGAGGTCGAGCCATGTAGCGTTAGGATTGGTGTCGGGGAGTTTCACTTCAGCAGCCGTGGCGGCAGCCAGGGCCCACCATGCTTGGTCGTCGTTTCCGGTAGCATCGACGGTGAGGAAATCATCGCCTGGAGTCGCTTGGCTGAGAATGGTATTTTGGAGAATTGGCTCGTATTGGTGGTCGCCTGTTACGGAGGTGTATGTGAGCAGTGCCTCGACGGCAGTGCCAGATTGCCACCACCAAATTGGTTGCGGGAGGAGAGCGAGATTTGGATTCGGGAAGCTGGCCTTGATGGATGCCGCGAGGCGTGGGGCGGTGCCGAGCAGAGTGGACACTGATGGTGCTGGTGGTTGAGCGGCCAGGGCGGCGGACTGGATAACGACGTTGATTGCGTTTGCGAAATTTGTTGGTATCATTTTGTTTAAACACAAAAAAAAACAGAATACGATTTGCGGTAAGTATATCGGCTTCGATAATAAGAAAAGGAGCGAGATTGCAGCAACGTTGTCGCGCGTGAGAAGGAATGTAGATGGGGTACGCGGTACCTGAAGCCTCGGAAAAAAAACACGGTAATGAATGTGAGAAAGGAATGTGAAAATGCGACGAAACGACGCGGAACAAGTCAGTACAAGAAAACGAGTGGGGGATTCGCAGGATAAGAATGAAAGGAAGAATGGAGACGGAGGCTGAGAACTTAGCCAGACCGCCAGAGCAGCAGGATCCGACTCAGCCTGCATCGCCCAAGCCATCACTCTGCATATGTCCGTTTCCGTTTCGCGGCATTGGCATGGCAATTCTAGGCTGCGGTAGCAAGTCGAGCAGCTTGTCCGCCCCATTCCGACACGCGTCGCAATCCCTTCTGATAGGCACAAAAGTACCCACCTGTATTTCCACATTTCGACCGAAGCCCTGTGGAACGTCCCCCCCTCTTTCTCGCCACTCAACTGGATGCAGATGCGTTGTACAGAAAAAAAAAGACATTTTTCCCAGAGTTCCGATTCGCATGTGAATGGCGGTTTGCCCACGTCGCAAGGCGCATACCCCTGATTTGCGCCTAGGGGTTCCACTGGACCAGTTTATACTTGGACGCTTGTGCGCCCGAGCAACAATCTGAAACGTGCATCGCCACGAAGTGCAGCGCTGAGATTGGCTGCCATGGAGCGTCCGGATCAATGCAGCCTAGGTGATTGGAACAGGCGAGATTGTCGTGTTTATGCTGAATCGCAAAGGTGCGTGTGTTGAGGCTGGGCGTGCAGTCGGGCAGGCGATGACAGCTGTGTTGTGCTGCGTGGGTGTGTCATGGCTGTCATCTATACGTAAGGCCTTAGGCGAGATGAGGCATGTAGTCTGTCAGTCACGTGATGAGACACGATGGATACATACATGACATGACGCTGAGCGAAGACGACGGCGTCAGGCTTATCGCTCGACAGCGCTGCGGTGCGCGAAAACTCTTCGGTTGGACAATATCTTCGTGTCCTTGTGCCTTATCAGCAAATCTGTCGTGCGGCACCAAAGACGCCTGTCCCCCAATTATTCGCACGATTGAAAGAGTTTCGAGCGGCGTGAACTCTAGCGATGCGAGTTGATTGAGATCGCCATTAATAGTATATCCGTGTTTATTCTGCCCCACCCAGGACACATTGATTCTGTTTACCCCTCACAACTTTGCAGCCTCCACCTTGGAAATGACATACGCCGCGGTGGCCTCCGCATACACATTACCCTCGCCATCCTCGATCCATCCCACCGTCTCCAGGAACCTGCCCTTTTCTCTCTTGATCTTGGACCTCAACGCAAAAACACCCGGCGTCTTGAACGCTTTCTTGAACTTGACCGTGAGCTCCACCGTCGGAGGCGCTCTCGAGTTGTACACAAAGGCGCAGAGAATCCCCATGCAGTGATCTAAGAGCGTGGAAAGTATGCCCCCGTGAAGTCGGTATGGACCGCCATTGACATTGTCGCCCACGGAAACAAGGAAGATTGCCTCGGGGGCGTTGGGATCCGTGACATCGAAAATCTTTTCTTCCTTTTTTGCTTGTCGCTGTGCCTCTTGCTCGAGCTTGTGCGGCGGAACGTCCCACATCGCCGAGTCAGGCTGGATGTCCAGCTTGGTTGGGTCCCCTTGCCTCCTCTCCCCATTTCCCGGCCGGAACAATGTGACAAGTGCGCGGATCCTGTCGTCGCCCCAGAGCGTGCGGTTGAGAAACGTGTTGACGTTTGCACCTGAAGGGTCCTCTTTGAGTACGTTACGCTTGTTGATGATGGTTACAGAGGGATCGTGGAGCAGTGCTCGGCACCAGGGAAGTGTTGTCAAGTCTTCAATGCGATCCTCACTCATGGTGGCGGTGGTTGTATGGGCGTTGATGAATATGGCAGGTCGAAAGTGTCGCTCTACGGCTTGCGCAGGAAACCGTGAAACGGCGATGTACAACAGGGCACTCGCATCGTAAGCTGATATTCAAAAGGCCAGCCTCCTCAATGACACTGTGTTTGCGAGTCTGACATCCGAGGTTATTCATTGCAGAGGTTTGGACTGTAAGATAAGCACGCACATGCCGGTCAAACTATCTCCACCCCTCATCTGTCGAACCAAAAGGAAGAGGGGTTGTGTTTAAAGTTTCTCGGGCGGCCCATGAGCTCGGGTGCTAACTACTTACTCATGCCGCGCAATCCTCTATGCATGGCGACAACAATGACCCCTCCGATCTACCTCGCCCCCATCCGGCGATAGCTCCAAGGCGATCGAGCAGGCATCCTGGGACCAGAGACAATCAAGCGCGATCGCGACGGATCTCTGCCATTTTCGATTTGCGCATCGAGCCAACAGCTAGGTACGGCTATGCGGGGTGATCTTGCATGTGCATGGCAACGGCTGGGCTCAGGCGCCTCTCAACACCCACGGAGCGTCTGCACCTCTCATCATGACGTCGCGCGGCATGCAAGCCTGATGCGAAGTTTGTTTTTCAACGACTGCGTCAATATAAGAAGAGACAGAGGGGCTTGGGTCGTGAAGTCAACTCGTTGAGCCCTTCAGGCTTCCAGTATTTTGCAACGCTCAGTAATCTACTACAAGTAGTCTGCATCAAGCCATGCCTTCTATCAACGCGACTGTAGGTATTCCAAAAATGGCCGCTCGTGGTCTTAAGAGAGCAATTTGGCTCTGACAAAAACAAACTAGGTCTTCCATGCGTATGCGTACGGCACTGCGTTCTGGTATGGCCTGCGTGGCTTGTGTCGAGTATATGACCCCGTCATGGTCATTGGCTGTATGTATTTCGGGAAATGCCTTTATTAGACAACGCCCCCTTCAGCCATGTCTTGAACCCATCAACTAAAAATACCCCGCAGGGTTCCGGCCACCCTCGCAACTCAATCTCAAAGTCAACGACCTTGAAAAGTACAACGTGCGCACAGACGGCTGGTGTCTTGTTACCCTGGCTCTGATTCTCGTTGGCCTGACCAATGCCGTTCCTTTTACGGCCAAGTCTGCGAAGACGTTTTCTTCAGTCCAGTATGCAAAGGCTATTGTCGCTGCTACCATTTTCCATCATGTCGCGACGGGTATTGGCGCGTACCAGCATTACAGATTGCCCAGCCACTACAACACCAGCATGGGAATCGGTGTCTGGGGCAACGTTTGGCTGTCTTTGACTGGTCTGTTTACGCTGGCCATGCTACAAAGCGATGCAGGCGACAAGTCTGTTGAGCAGGTGGCTCGGAAAGTGAAATAGCTAAACACCCCTTCAAACGATTTGAAATTGGCGATGCGATAAGGTTGGGTACTGTAGATGTAGCTAAGCCAAGTACCTAAGTAGCACTCGCTAGAGGTGCTAAAAGTAGAAAAGGCGAGACAGCAAGATGGGCATACTTAATGTGAGGAAGTTGACACAATAATAAATTGAGGCATACCAAGCAACATTGACTATTCAAGAAGCTCTCAAATAATCTTCTACCAACCCCTCACATATATCTAGGCCAACCCCCAACCCCAGATACATAACCTCTGAACCTCCATCCCTGTCTCACCATGGTACACGGCGTGCAAAACGAATCAAAATCATGGTACAAAGTCTGCATTTGGCATCTAGCCGAGGGAAAGTACGGCACGCCCGGTTGGTCCACATAGTGCGGGTCGTTTATCCTGTTGAGCTCCCTGCGCACATCGCGGCATAACTTGGCGTGGATGTAATCGTGGTGGTTGCAGCGGATCCAATGGCGGTGGATGTCGAGGCACATGCTATGACGAAGGGGTAATTGGTGAAGTTCCGTCGAGCCTATCTTATTGGGCGTCCCAAAATGATAAAAAAAACAAACCCCCCTGAACAAGAAATAATAAGATCTGGCCAGGCCACCAACAGCGGTTGAGATTCTGGCTTAATGAAAGATGTGTTTTTTTTTATTTCGAACGAGAAGTGTGATTCTTACACACTTTGCAAAAAAAAAAGACAACAGTTAAGGAAATAAGACCGTCCACACACTCTCTTCTCAGAAATTATAGCAAATCCTGGGGCCTGGCGCAGCGAGCAATGCTCGAGCTATACAAGAGTACTAAGCAATGTAACACAAGCCCATGTACATTCCACTGTTCGGCGCCGCCATCCGGAGGGGGGGGGGCAACGCGGACGCGGAACCGGGAAAGCCCCAAGCCTAAGCCTCACTCAGCATCAAATCTCTTGCCCCTCCTGATCCCCGATTTCTACTAGTACAAAATGCAAAATTCCAGACTTCTACACATACGCACACACGCCTCCACACTGCCTGTACGTATCGGGTAAAAACCCGTATACGTATCCATCAATGTATGGTTCTACCAGCCAGCTCACCCTAGCGCACCGCCTATCCACCCCACCCCGCCCCGCCCACGCGCCAACGTTGAGGCAGTGCAGTGTAGAATACAACTAGAAAAAGCCGGAAAGGGAAAAGAAAAGAAAAATCGGGGTCGCCGGCCCAAGTCCCTGTTTGCGGGCCGGCGATGATGATGAAGAACACGACACACATGGTAGTAGTGTAGTGCCTTGCTTGCAGGGTATTATTTGCAGGCACATAGCAATAACAATAGCCATACTTAGGTAAGTACCTAACCAAGTAGGTAAGTAGTGCTTATTTAGCCCACCTCACCACGTCGTTGTATGCGATAGACAGGAGAAGAGAAGAAGGAGAGGAATAGAAAAAAGAAGAAGATGTAAAACATGCCAAACCTACATTTAAAAAAAAGACCATGCACTCAATCTCAGTCACACTGCCACACATACTCACGGAAAATCCCTATACCCACATAGTTTCCCTGCTGCGTAGACAGAAAAAAAACCCCCTTCCTCACACCCCGGGGGCACCGGGGAGAGGACTCTCGGCCTTGATCTAAAACACCATGATGCTCGCGGTTACACAGATGACGCAGGTGTTTGTTTGCTCTCTCAGCGAGAGCAAGAGAGGGCAATTTTCTTCGGGTCGGGTATTGATCGCGTGGCAGCGGCTTGTTGCAGCGAGGCTCTGTTCCGAATGGAATATCATCGAATGGTGTGTGTGTGTGTACCAGGGGGTTTCTCTCTCTCTTGATCAATCTCTTCCAAATGAGGAAGCGATTGCGCTAGCTGTTTGTGTGCGATGCTGCTGTGTTATCTGGGAGGAGTTCCCCGGTTGGGCGCTGCGCACAGAGGGGTTACACACAAGAGGGTTAGGGCAGAGGAGGGTAGGTAGGTGAGTGAGATTCCGGGGTCATGTGCACAAGGCGAGGCAGACACTTGGCACTAGAGAAAAGTGTAAACCAAAAAAAGGAAACCAAGTTCAAGGAATTAAGTGGAGAAAGAAATTGATTGAGTCCGTGTGGAGCTACGTATAAGACGCCTTGTTCCTGGGTATGTCGTTTCCTGAAAATGCTGTGTAAAAGAATCAAAACGCCAATGTACGCATGCAAAAGGGTATCGCCCGAATCCATATCCCAAACCCGAAAAAAAGAAGAAGAGGAAGAAGAAGAAAACCCCATGCTATGCAAAAAAATCAAGGTTATCCGCCTCTCTCATCGTTCATCGATCATCATCATAATGCTCGTTTGAGATCCTGCTCTGGACTTATCTGAACCGGTGGCCTGCCACGGGAGATAAGATGTGTTCGTGTTCAACATAACCCATATGAATCGTGAAAAAGACAATAACCCAACAGTGCAACAGCATGATTGCAGTATGAGCTTCAATCATGCTGCAAGCAGTCCCCGGAACTTGGCACCGTTCTTGTGATGGATGCTACGCGCCACACGAGGAGTGGCTGCCGCCGCAACAGGCTGCGTGGCAGCAGGTGCAGTGACAGTGATCCGGACAGTGGTTGTGACGATGACAACGCCATTACTGCTGCCCGATGAAGCGGTAGGTGCGACACCAGGAGGACCACTGAGGGCTGGAATGCCAAGTACGGGTGGTGTTGGAACGGCGCCCCGAGTAGTGGAAGAAGGCACTTGACCATTGGCTGGCAGGGTACTGTGAGAGATTGGAACGCTGGCGCCAGGTGGAGCAGGACTAGGTACTAGACCAGGGAGGGTACCAGTAGCAATGGGGACATCACCACCCATGCCGCCCCCTGGAAGAGAAGACGTGACAGGGCCCATCTCGCGCTTCAATGGCAAATCGCTGTAGAGAGCTGTTCGCGCCGCCCAGTCGCTGACAGCAGTGGATACGGCGTCTTGTTGGCCCATGGCGAACTTGGCCAACTTTGCAGGGCTGAGAGCTTGCATTGCGACCCTGGGCGCTTCGATGTCAACATCCATACAGGTGCTGTAGTACTCGTCTTTGCCCTTGGGAAGACCTGGCGTCTTTCCGGGCAGAGAAGTCCATTGCCACACCCAGTACAATGTGTAGGTGTTGTTGAACTGCACATTGTCCGGGATCTTTACGTCTGTTTCGCAGTACATGACCGAATTGGCGGGTCCGGTTTGAGGCGTGTTGGCCATGTAGGCTGGATCGGCTGCCTTGCGCTCCATGGCAACGGGCGTGTCGTTGTTCAAGTAACAGCGGCCATCGTCGTAGTCGTTCATGGCCAGAAGAACTCCTCGCTTGTCGCCGCCCTGTCCGTCTTGGGTCCACTCGAGGACATCAAGAAGCTTCTCGTCCGTCTTTGGTTGCTTGGTGCCGTAGACATAGACTGTTCCACCCTTTTCTGGTTTGTCGGGGTTGTTTTGCGCATTTGTGATGTGCCCGTTTTCCTGGTATCGGATCGCGACAAAGTTGCCTGGCGCAGTCTTGAGGCGAGGATATTTCTCAGAAGATTGCTTCTGCTCGCGTTGCAATGGTGCACAGAGTAATTGTTCCGCATCAATGAAGATTTTGCCCTGGGTGTTGGATGGGGGCATTCTCCATGTCATGGCGTCATCTGTACTCTGGCCAGTCGGACTGATTTGACCCCGGTCGACCATGCCTCGCGCATACCCATAGGCACCAACATATTGGCCCTTGGCGTCGATGTTGCGCAGCTGCTCTCCCCAGCTGTGCGAGTTGGCGAAGGGGAAAGCGGCGAATGCGGCCAGAACAGCAGCCGGCCATATTGTAGGCATTTTGATGGAGCTCAACTGCTCGATGTGGATGTGGTTGAAGAGGTGGCAGTCTTGTCCTACCAGCAGGCCGATGTTTGTATCTAGTCGACAAAAAGGAAGCCCGTACAGTGAGGAGGTCCAGTGAAGAGATAGGCAGGCGTTGAAGACAGTGAAGGGGGATTTGGTAGATGTACGGTAAGTGATGGCACAATGGCTATTGTCATGTGACTCTTTGAATTCGTCTTCACCTGGAGAACAGTGCTATTGTTCAATAGCAATGGTATCGTGAAGCGTGCAGAGTGCGTTCCAGACGACCGGGGAAGAGAAAAAAAGGAAAAGAGAAAATAGATACGGGAAAAGAAGCGAAGACGCAAGGCAAACCAGTTGTGGGAGAGGCAAAGGGTTCGCGCGACCCAGTACCTTTATCCCCGGCAGGCAATTCGGTCGACCGTGGTTCGAATTACCGGTGTACACAGGCAGAAGCGACAAGAGCCAATGGAGAAGGAGACGGATTGGGTATCGAAACACGGCGCCACTGCATGCGACGATGCACACAAGCTTCTGGGCCTGTGGTGTTTGCGTGTACGATGTGCGTTTCAACGCTGGTCTCCACTGTAACCGCCAGCCATGGCGTTGCGATACCCGCAACCCGACGGCGGCGTCGCGCGCACATGCAGCAGAAGCCTCGCGTGCCTTTCCGGCGCAAGGCGCAATCAGTCGTTTGCAGCGGGCAGTATTGTTGGGCTGATGCGCTAGGCGTCGGTGAGACATGTAAGAGGGAGAAGTGGTCGAGTGTAAGAGGCAAGGTGAGCCGCTGATCTACGACACAAACACGGCAGCTAGGCCCTCGCCGGGAGGACGTGGCGACGCTGCTGCCCCGTCCATGGTGGAGAAGGCCAGGGAAACAGCGAGAGCGCGTGGGTCTGGCGATTCCAGCGCAGGCGTACTGTGCGTGTACAGTGCGTGCCAACGAGCGACGGGCCCCGTGCAAGTGTACCGGACGCGGGCTGGGCTGGGCCGACGACAGGTGAATATGCGCCGGGAGCAGCGCTTCGAGAAGAAAAAGTCCAGGCACAGGTGCAAGTGGCGGGCGGGTGGTGGAGAAGGCGGGCAGGGAGATGAATGAGGTCTTGGTCTTGGTCTTGGTGTGGTAGTCACGGCCTGTTCGGCTCTGTTTCAGGCCGGGCCCCGCCCGCCTCTTGATTGGCTGAGCGCCTCAGGCCACGGCGCAGCCAAACACGTGAGCTCGTCGGCGTGATTGGCTCCCAGCGCTCCTCCACCACCCTGGCCCGTCTCCATCCTGGCTGCTTTCTTCTTTCTTCTTCTCCTTCTTCCTCTTCCTCCACGCTATTTAACGCCCATCCACTCTATCTTTGGCTCCCGGGATTCCAGCCACCCGGCCACGGTGAGCGCGCGTGGCATTCTCTCGGCACCCAGAGCCGTGTGGGCCGTGGACACGACCACTTCACCCACCATCGCGCAAGCTCATCCCCCCCCACACACCCATACGACTGCATCTTATCGATAGCCAGCGTTTCACCGAGCAAATATCTGCACGGCGCGGCAAGGACCCCGGCACGTCACAAGACGCGCAAGATTTAAGGAACCTACTTCGAGGCTAACCACGTCGGACTACGCTGGCAACTCATCCTGTGCCGCCCCAAGTCAAACTCGGAATGCTTGAGTATCCGCAAACCCTCGACGCGTCGCGATGGATGCAAGACATGTTGAGGTGAGGCCTTGCGTTTCACCGAGATGAACCGGACGAGAAACAATCTCAGTCACAATCACACGGCTGCCGGGAGCATTGTTTCCAGCAGCCATCCAAACATCAGCAAAGCCGTGTCCGTCTCTGCCCTCTGCTCGTACCAAGTCGATGAGTAGTCGGGTGTTGTAAGTGTCCTTGAGCCCCATGGCTGCGCTAGCATACTACCTGAAACACCCCAGATCTACCACCGCATGGTGGCTGACGGTAGGCTACATGGACACTACGGAACCCTATCAACGCATCAGGTACGCCTAGGATGTGCACGAGTAGGCTGCATAACCTCGACCAGCTGCTTGGCATATATCTGAGTTTACTAATGCTAGTTTTGCGCCATTCCACTGCAGCTTCTCCGCATCACTCGTGCAGGGCATGCCTTTCATAGGCCACGAGACCTGCTCTGCCCCCTACCTCCCTCACCAAACCGACCATCTCCGCCTCTTTCGGAAACTCAACGTAGCCGCTGAGAGCAAATTTTGGTCCAGGGGGTTGTCTGGCCTGCCAGTTGAATGGCCTCGAGCGTCTACATACCACGTCAGCCCATTCTCGACACCTGTCTTCTCTCCTCCAACTTAAATCCTTTTCTGCGTGTTCCGACAAAAAGCCCCTGCAAGCCTGAGGTGTCAAGGAGTGCAACATGTCAACAACGAGCCTGTCATGGATGCAAGTATCCCGAAAGACCTGCCACCACCAACCTTACTGTACAACACCACTGCAGTCCCAACAATGCACTTCAGAGTCACACCCAACACGACGAAATTCACAGGCCCCCTTTTGCGTCAACACGTACACTTCCTCTGTCACGGCCCTTCACTGACATAAACCCCCATCACACATGCCTCCCTTCATAACAACTCCCCCAGCTTTCTCCTCCATGTCCACCTCTTTCCACCAACCAAGCGTGTAAAGTAAAATAAAAAACATGTCGTCTGCAATCACGATTACTAACCCTCCAAACTGTGTATGCGCAGCTATCTTGCGTGTCTGGGGTTGTGGGTGTCGCGACTATCTATTCGTCATGTCCTGTCTCGGCCCCACATATCACATGCCGCCGCGACTCGCAGGCAGTGTTTTGCATTGGCATAGGGTGTGTGAGTGGTGTGCTGAGCGGCTGAGAGATGTAGAGGAGGCGTGTGTGCAGCGCATGTGGGGGACGACGACTAGTCACGGCGATGGATAAGTTGGATGTGTATTACTATGGAGTTACTAAAAAGGTATTACTATGTATTATTATTATTATTATTCTAGTTTAACGTCCTTTTTCAGCCCGAAGGGCTATATAAGACGTGTAGGGTTTTTAGGCCTACAAGTATCTAAGTAGGTTGTTTCTAGCTACGATATTTAGGAGGGGTTTTAAC